AAGAACAGAGAAAATGAAGAGATTCCCCAGAGTCTCCAGACAAGGTGGCAGACCTAGTCTCTCACATCAGGGGATCGTGGGGCCGTCAACCAGACCCAAATGCCAAAAGCACTTTAAATTAAAAAAATAATAATAAATTTGCTGAACTATCAGCAGACAGAGAAAGGTACCAAGGATGAAGCATCTGCGCTGTGAGCCATTACAGGCCCTTGACAGATGTGATTCTACCAACCTCCCACCGAAGCGGCAAATAAAGACCTAGCCCCTTTTCTTCTCCCCAGACAAGGATTAATGAGCACAGGGACAGCACTCAGACAAGCAAGGAAAGGCTGTGAACTTTTTCGAAGGCCGCAATTTATCTTGGGAAGACTATTCACATCACTTTTACAGGCTGGATCCTACTATGACCTAGCACATTAATCTCGCAGAATAAAATAATAATAATAATAAAGAGGAGTTGGACAGTTGCCAGGGTTACATTAATAACTGTCGTGAACACCTCCGCTGGCCACAAGGGAACGGAGAGCTCCATCCCTACCCTTCCACCCCCAGGCCATCCAGCCTTGGCCAATCACCAGCTAGGCCCTGTTGGAAGAGGAAGTGACCTCGCTCTTGTTAAGACTCAGAAAAATGTTATGTGAACTTGTAGACTGTTAGACGCAGATGGGAACCATTGAGATCATCTGATCTGACTTTCTCATCATATTTTATTTTAACGTTTTTATTCATTTAAAATCACTTACTTCCTCTCTAATAAAAACCTTCTTTGCATCAAAGTATAGTTAGGCCGGACAAATATAACGGCCACCTCTGATAGTGTATGTCTCATGTCACACCTGTAGCCCACCACCTTTTTACAGAATCCCTTCATTTTATAGGCAAAGGAAACTGAAACCTAGAGAGGAAAAATGATTTGTTGATAATTACAGAGAGACAGGAAGCAAGCGGAGTGTTGGATTTGAAGTCAGATAACCCGACTTCAAATCTGGGCTCAGCTATTTGCTGCCTCTTTGACCTTGAACAACTTACTCATATCTCAGTTTCCTCATCTGTAATCTGAGGGAGTTGGCCTTGATGATCTTGATGGACCCTTTCAGCTCCTCAGTCTATCATATGAAGTCTAGCCCCAATTCAATAATAATTCATCAAGGGCCTGTTATGTACAAGACATGATTCTGGAGGCTGATTATTCAGAGATGAAATAAGACACAGGAGAGACATGGTACGGTGCAGAAAGAAGGGACTGAATTAGATGGCTCTGGAGCTCTGATCCTATGGACGACCTTGGACATCACTTCACTTACCTGGCCTCAGTTTCCTCAAATGTAAAATGAGGAAGTTAGACTAGAGGACCCCAACAATTTCTTCCAGCTCCAAATCTAGATTCTATGATCTCCCCTGAGCCTCAGCTTCCTCATCTGTACAATAAGGGGACTAGACTAGATGGCCTCTGGGGTCCCTTAATTAATTTAATTAATTACTTTAGTTTCCTGGGCCTCAGTTTCCTTATCTGTACAATCGGTGTAGAGTAGATGACTCTGAGGTCCTTTAGTTAATTTAATTAATCACTTTAGTTTCCTGGGCCTCAGTTTCCTCATCTGTACAATCAGCCCAGACTAGCTGACCTCTGGGGTAGCCTCCCATTCTGGACCCAGACTTCTCTGAGCAGGCAGGGATGAGGAGGGAGCTGGCTCCTGGCATAGGCCTAAGGATTCACAGAGGTTGCATGAGGGCAGGATGAGAAGGGGGAGCAGCTAGTCAGCTGGTCCAGAAGGCTGCCTCCTCCCACGGGTGTAGGGGGTTTCACACCCCGGAGCAGCCAGTGCAAAAGTGGCATGGAAATCTTCTGTTTCCTGAGAACGATGCGTCTTCCCTGGCCACGTGGTCCCGCTTCCACAGACAGTGCAGCAGAAGTCTGAACGCCCACCTCTGAAGCTGGGGCTTGGCTGGACTCCCCAGCACCCAGCGGCCTGGAGTGGCTACTCGGCTCCTGCGCTTCTTTCCCATCTGTTCCGAGCCTTGACTAAATTGGGGTCAGGAAGTTCTCGGGCTGAACTCTGGGTCTAGCCACAACCGACAAACAGTCCATGATTATTTACGAAGCACCCACTATGGGCCTGGCCCATAGTGGGTCATTGGCAGATGTCAGCTAGAAAACCTGCTATATTCGCATCTCTTCGTGAAGCCAATGCCTACTTCAATGCCAGAGCAAAATATTTCAATATCTCTTTCTTCAGGGAAAGCCCACCCACATTGTCTATAGCTTCAGACTATTGACAAGATCCCAGCAGAATAATGAGAGCTCAGGTAAACCGATGCTCTATGCCAGGGGGCTGGGCAATTGTCTTGGACAGAGTTAGGTGAGGCCTGGGATCTGTCTTCATCTTCATCATCATCATCATCATCACCATCAAAGCTAATATTTATACATAGCTTACAATGTGCCAGGCCCTGCACTGTCCCAGGGCTCCCCTAGGGCCCAGGGAGATGGGCTAGCTGAAAGGAGACAGGATGTTCCAAAAGCCACCAAGCACCTGGGACCCAGGCACCCGGCAGGCACCAGTCCATCCTGACCTGAGCAGCTGGTGACTGCAAGCTGCTGCTCGTCATGGAAGACAGCTCCCAGGAAGCCACCAGCATAGCCCTTGGGTGGTGGGAGCTGCTGTGTCCCTGGGCTGGAGTCACACCTTACCAGCTGCTCTCGAAGCAGTCTGGCCTCAAGCCGCCAGGCTCCAGAACACAGCCAAGGGAGGAGGATTTTTTATAACCGTGGTGGTTATTTATGCTCAGAAATAATTATGACTATTGTTTTCATTATTGGATGAGAGGCAGAGGAGAGAGAGTGCTGCCTCTGATTCATCCTGGCTATGTGGCCCTAACCTCTCAGACTCTAAATTGTAGAGAAGATGCCAACCTGCGTTGATAGAAGGGTCTCCTCACCTGGGAATTCCCTGTACCAAAGAAATCACAGGTGGATCCCTTATCCTTCATCACCATCATCGTCACCACCATCATCATCATCACCACCATCATTATCGTCATCATCGTCACCACCATCATCATCATCATCATCATCATTGTCACCATCATCATCGTCATCGTCATCATCACCATCATCACCATCACCATCATCATCATCAACACCATCGTCATCATCATCACCATCACCATCATCATCACCATCATCATCATCTTATTTTTTTCTTTACTTTTTAGGTGGTGCAGTAGATAGAGTGCTAGACCTGGAGTCAGAGAGACCTGAGCTCCAATCCAGCTTCACTTACTAGCTGTGTGACCCTGGCCAACTCACTTGACCTCTGTTTGCCTCCGTTTCTTCATCTGTAAAATGGGCATCATATAGCACCTACCTGTCAGGGTCATTGTGAGATCAAATGAAAAATTATTTATAATGGACTTACCACAGTGCCTGCCACTTAGTAAGCTATATAAATGCAGTTATTATTATTGATATTAATTTAATATTTTAAAGAAGAATTATAGTTCTTATTATGTTATTTATTATTGTTGCTATTGTTCTTGTTGCTGAAATTCAAATCTAACAGGCCTGTGGATAAGTCACTCTCCTCCTATTATGCCTTAATGTTGAATGTTTTATAGACTATTTCATAGGAGGAGAAAATACTGCTTTTTGCAGCAGAACAAAAGTATTGGGATATAGGCTCCCCTTCTGTGGGCTCCCTGGGACAAGTCCGGAAGCAGGGTATGGAGGACTCTGCATTTAATCCAGTCCTCACAGAGTTCTCATTTCTTCTTTTTCTACTTATTAACAAAAATGATCATTATTATTACAGTTATCATAGTAAATTGTTTCTTTGGGTGTTATAAACCCCTCACATTTCTCCATTTCATTATGGCTTACCAAGTACTTTCCTTACAACTGCCCTTTGAAGTTGGTCTTGCAATGATCAATTACAATCACTCCCATTTTACAGATGGGGAAACTGAGAGGGGAAAGGTGCCCCTCTCTGGTGGTAGGAGGGAGGCAGCGAGGCAGGTTACATCAGGCAAGGTATCCCAAGAAATGTCATCCTGGATACTTGACTCTGTGTCCCTGAATCTGCTTCTCTCTTATTCTGTGACTCTGACTCTGCTAGAATTCAGGGCACTCTCTAAAGATCTTTGGGCTAGAAGAGGGTATCTGGTTCAACCCCCTCATTCTAAGCAAAGGAAACTGAGTCCCCCTGAGGAAAAGTCACATAGCTTCAGGGGCAATTGGGTGACAGAAAGATTTAGAGCACTGGGTCTGGAGACAGGAAGATCTGAGTTCAAATCTGGCCTCAGACACATCCTAGCTGGGTGACCTTGAATAAGTCATTTAAGTTCTGTTTGCCTCAGTTTCTTCCATTGTAAAATGGGGATAATAACAGCATCTGCCTCCTAGAGTTGTTGTGAGGATCAAATGAGGTAGTGCAATGCCTGGCCCATAGCAGGTGCTATATAAAGCTAGCTCTGACATCCTCTCCCAGCTCTGCCATTCCCTGTTCTAAGGCCCCTCCCAGCTCTGACATTCCTTGTTCTAAGGCCCCTCCCAGCTCTGACATTCCCTGTTCTAAGGCCCCTCCATGCTCTGACATTCCCTGTTCTAAGGCCCCTCCCTGCTCTGACCTTCCCTGTTCTAAGGCCCCTCCCAGCTCTGCCATTCCTTGTTCTAAGGGCCCTCTTTGCTCTGACATTCCCTGTTCTAAGGCCCCTCCCAGCCCTGACGTTCCCTGTTCTAAAGTCCTTCTCAAGTCTGACATTCCATGATTCCACGACAGTAGACAGTTTAAGGACATTAGGTTGGAAGAGTAAGGGGCTTTATGTGCCAATATGCCATAGCATTTGCACTCCACACAGGGACAGTGGTTAGACCCCACCACTAGATCCTCCATCTTCCTCTTCTTCCAGTTGTTAGATCCCTCACCCCAAGGCCCAAAGCTGTCACCCTGAAATGCCTCACTTTAGGGTGACTGGGCCTGACCATGGAAGCAGCTCCTTACCTTGGACTTGACAGCCAGGATGATCTTGGGCAGGGCCACTACGAGACACTTGAGTGCGATGGTGACGTATTTCAGCATGAAGTCAGCGATTCCCACGATCCACAGCAGGTCAAAGAAATCCAGGCTGTCCAGGTTGGGTTTCAGGAAGATGAGGCTGGTAGGGAGGACGCAGAGAGTCAGGTTCCCTTAGTCTATGCATCAGCCCAGAGCTGAAGATCAAATTCCCTGGGCCAAGGCAACTAGACTGGGCAGGTGATGGCTCCCCCCACATTCTGCCCAGGTTGGGCCACATCTGGAGAGTGCTGTGTTTGGGTCTGCGAGGAGATGGCGAATTGGAGAACATGCAAGAGACTGCAACCAGCCAGGGAAAGGGGCTGAGCCCTTCTCATATGAGGATTGGTAGAAGCAACCTGGAGTTGGGAAGACCCAGGGGTCTTCAGGTCTCAAAAGGATTGTTACATGAAAGGATAATTAGGTTTGTTCTCTCTGACCCCTGTTATCAAAGGGCATCCCTCTCCTGTTTCTAGCTGGTGTCCGGAATGAGTGAAAGGATGCGTCTATATTCTTCACTAATAAGTCTTTCTCTCTCTGCCCCTGTCTCAAGTGCCTAGAGTTTGACTCAGTCCTGTTTATAAAGGGCCCTGACTCTTCTAAGCCCCAGTGTGTGTGTGTGTGTGTGTGTAATACAAATAAGGGACAGTGAATGGTGCTAGCTGGAAATGTGTCTGAAATTCCAGGAAAACTCTAACTCCCCAGCCCCCACCCCAACCCTCTGCTCCAGTTCTCAAGCAGGGCTTGGGCAACAGGACAAAATTCACTGGACAAGTACCATAGATTCAGAACCAACCGAACCCTTCCCAGGTTGAAGAAGAGAGGAAAAAATATTGCTTATGCCTACAACTCAGTTTTCAAACCAAAGGGGCTGCATTTCAAGGGCTACCTCAACCAAACAGACAACTCCAGGTCACAATAATTGTTCCCTTCTCCAAATTCCTATATATGGCTTATACTCATCAATTTGAGTGTTCCTTCTAATGGTGCAGATTAAAACCCATCAATCCCTGCCCATCCTGGTCTATGTCCTCAAGTAACGGTGACTACTGTGCCCACGATGATGATGAGATGATAATGACGGCTTTAATGTTCACAAAGCACTTTACAAATATTATCTCATATTATCCTTGCAACATCCCTGGGAGTCCTCATTTTACAGATGAGGAAATTGAGGCAAAGTTTTAAGTGACTTGCCCAGCTAGTAAGTGTCTGAGGTCAAATCTGAACTCTGGTGTTCCTGACTCCAGGCCCAGTGCTCTATCCATGGTGCTGAAGACCTCTTTCAATTTCTCCTGACATCTTACAGAACTCATATCCACAGAGTATTCACAGCTGGAGGCCAGTAGTCACCCTTACAGGCCAGGAGTCCAAATTATACCTGAGAAAGGGATTGTGCAGCAGATGCCTGAAGACCTCTCGTGAAGGGAAGCCTACTCCCTCCTCTTGGAGAGCTCTCCAGGAAGATTACACAAGAGTGAGCTCCATCTCTTGGTAATTTCCTTCTGTTAATGCTAGTCTTATATTCTGGGGCCGACCAGAAAGAGGTTCATCCCTTCTTCTGCATGAAGCCCTTTCACACAGAGCTGTCATGTCCTCACACTCCCCCAACCCCAAGCGTTTTCTTCTCCAGGTTAAATGCCCCTAATTTCTTCAGCTGATCCTCCTGTGGTATAATTTCAAGATCTTTCTCTTTCCTCTAAGCCCCCCACTGGATGGTCTCCAACTTATCAATGTCACAGATCCATAGCCGGAAGGGACCTCAGAGGCCACCCATTTTATAGATGAGAAAACTGAGGCCCAGGTAGGTTAGATGACTCGGGATTACAGGGTCATAGATCTAGGGCTGGAAGGGAACTCTAGTCCAACCTTATCCATTTTACAGATGAAGAAACTGAGGCACAAGCAAGGTTAAATGACTTTCCCAAGGGTCATTTAGCATCAGAAGTCACAAGCATCAGGGGCAGAATTTGAATCCAGGTCCTGGGACATGCTCCAGAGTCGCTGCTCTTTCCACAGTGACTTACATAATCTACTTCTTGATCATATGTTGCAGTCTAACAACCCCCTGATCATTTACGTCTGCTTATTTTTTTTTTTTGCCTAGTTCCCTGAGGCAGCTCAGTGGTAAGGAGGACAGAGTGCAAGAAATGGAGTCAGGAAGACCTGAGTTCAAATCCAGCCTCATAATATTTCTTAGCTGTGTGATCCTGGGCAAGTCACTTCACCTCTTGTCTGCCTCAGTTTCCTCAACTGCAAAATGGGGATAACAGTATCTACCTCCCACGGTTGTTGTGAAGATCAATAAGATAATATTCATAAAGTGCTTAGCACAGTGCCTGCCACATAGTAGGTACCTGATAAATGCTTGTTTTCTTCCTTCTTTCTTTGCCCAAGGTCCCCTACCAGAGTCTGGCCTTGAACTCTGGTCTTCCTGACTGCTCCATCCACTACAGAAGTTGGTATTCTGTCTTCTTCCCTTATGGGGGAAGCTAAGGGGCGCCATACTGCACAGAGTGCTGGGCCTGAAGTCAGGAGGACTCATCTCCCTGAGTTCAAGTCTGGCCTCAGACATTTACTAGCTGTGTGACCCTGGGCAAGTCACTTCACCCTGCTTGCCTCAGTTTCCTCATCTGTAAAATGAGCTGGAGAAGGAAATGGCCAACCACTCCAGTATTTCTGCCAAGAAAACCCCAGACAGGGTCACAGAGAGTCAGATATAACTGAAATGATTCAACCACAACAAGGTATCTAGAGTATATTTCCTCCTCATCTCTGCCCCTCAGAAATTTGTCCTCCATGAGGCCTCAGTTCAGGTGTTCAGGTGCTTCCTCCTCTATGAAGCCTCCCTTGATTTTTATGGCCTCTGCCCCTCCCAAAGTCTAGTGTTTTCTCCCTCTGTAATATCCCCAAACTCTACTTGATTCCTCTCTCATTAGCGTGAGCAGGGAATATTTCAATCTTTGCACCTGTAACTCCAGAGCCTAAAACAGCTCCCGGCATACAGGAGGCACTTAATAATGCTTGGTGGTTGAACGATATTGTATCCTCCCATGAGAATAGAAGGTGCTAGAGGGCAGGAATTGTTTCATTTTGTTTCTCTATCCCCACCACCTCACACAGTGCCTGGCATACAGTAGGTAATTAATAAATGCCTACTGATCGAATGATTGCCTGGCACAAGGTAGGAACTGAATCATTTACTTCTGCATGCTATTAAACAAGCTTGAAGGCTTCTGCTCTGGCCCCAAGGCCCATGTTCTCTACCCTCCCGTTTAAGCCCAGGGGAGTCAGAGAGTCGTTTGTCCTCACCTGTTGTACAGCTGCTGGGAGCTAAATGTATACAGTACATAAAGGGTATTCCCCACCAGGAAGGCCAAAATCCAGAAGATGACCAGGACTGATCTCTTTTCCTGAAGACAAACAAGAGATAGGAAGGAAGGAAGAAGCATTTAGTAAGCTATGTGCCAGGTTCTGTGCTAAATGCTTTGCAAATATTATCTCACTTGATCTCACAGCTCTGGGAGGTAGGTGCTTTATTATCCCCATTTTACAGTTGAGGAAAATGAGGTAGACAGAGGCTAAGTGACTTGTCCTGAGGTAAGATTTGAACTCAGGTCTTCCTGACTCCTGGCTCAGTGTGATAGGCCTACAAGAGAATCTTCAGTTTAGAAGAAAAAGGGGGAAAAAAAGGCAAGTCTATAGCCAAAGTCTACAGCTTTTTCTTGTATTTATTCTGACTACACTTATATGTGCACACGTTGTCTGCCCTGATAGAACGTGAGCGTCCTGAGGACAGGAATAGTCCCATTTTTGTCTTATCTTGTCTTATGCCCAGCACCTACCACAGGGCCTGTTACTGCTGGCATTTAGATGCTTTTCAGTTGTGTCCAACTCTTTGAACCGTATTTGAGATTTTCTTGGCAAAGATACTGCAGTGGTTTGCCATTTCCTTCTCCAGTTCATTTTACACAGGAGGAAACTGAGGCAAACAGGATTAAGTGACTTGCCCAGGGTCACAGTTAGTAAATGTCTGACGCCAGATTTGAACTCAGGTCTTCCTGACGCCAGGCCTGATACTGTGCACTACGGTGCCACCTAGCAGCCCTACCACAGGGCCTAGCACCTACTAAATTCTGACTAAATGCCTGTAGATCGACTCTCTTCCTTCTCTAAGGACAAACTATTTGGAAAGTATCTTGGTATCATGTAAAGTACATAGATCTTACAGCTGGAAGATGTGGATTCAAATCCTGCCTTTGACACTCAATGCTGGACCTTGACACAGGAAGATCCGAATTCAAATCCTGCCTCAAATTCTAACTAGCTGTATAACTCTAGACAAAGCACTTAACCACTCTCTGCCTCAGTTTCCCCATCTTTAAAAAAGGAGAATAATGGCACACACCTCCCAGGGCTGTTGTGAGGTTCAAATACTTGTAACGAGCTTAGCAAGCCTCAGAGGGCCCAAGAAAGGCTAACTTTTAGTATTAGCACCATTACTCCTGCGACACCTTGGAAGTCATTTGACTTAGCTGTGTTTATTTCCTTATCCATATGCAAACAATATGTCATTTCCTTAGCACAAGGAATTTGCAATGAAAACAAAGGACAGTGTTCATTTAAAAGGGTAATTTATTTAATAAGGAACTAATAAAGATGACAGATCATAACTTGTCTATAACTCTGTATACAGGTCCCCCTTGCTTTCCCTATGGTCACACAACTAATAAATGTCAATGCTGTCATTCGAGCTCTGCTCTTTCTGACAGCAATACTCACATGGCAAGAATTCAGGACACCGTCACCTTCCCGTTAGTTGGCACTCTGACCATTATGATAGGTTGCTTTTATTATTCCTCATTAATAAGATGGACAAAGAACTGAAAATATAGCCAGCAGAGGGGTGATGGAAATGTACATGGTGGGTGTGAACAGAATGCAAGTGAATACATTGCAGACCACTAGGCGGCATGGCGGAGAGAATGATGGAGTTGGACTAAGGAAGACCTGAGTTCAAATTCAGCCCCAAATATCTACTAGTTACGTGACTCTGATTAAGTCACTTAACCTCTGCCTCAGTTTTCTCAACTGTAAAATGGGGATAATGGCACCTCTCTCCTAGGGTTGTTGTCATGATCAAATGATATAATATGGGTAAAGTGCTTTGTAAACCTTAAAGCCCTATATAAATGTTAGTTATTATTATTATATATTATATTATATCCTATCTCTATTTTGTATACATTTGGAATTAACATACTATATTGTATTCTATATTATATTCTATTTTTATTTTGTTATACACCTTGAACTGACCTATGTGTTGTATTATATATATTCTATTCTATACTTATATCCTATCTTTATTTTTATACACTTTGAATTGACATATATTATAGTGTATTATATTCTATTCTAGAGTTTATCTATGTTGTATACACTTGGAATTAACATATATTCTATTGTATTCTATTCTATACTTATATCTTATCTTTATTTCTATCCACTTTGAACTGACATATATTACATTGCATTATAGATATTCTATTTTGTACTTATAACCTATTTTGTATCCACTTTGAATTGACTTATATGTTATATATATTCTATTCTATACTTACATTATATCCTATCTTTATTTTCTATACATTTTAAATTGACATATAGTGTGTTATGTATTCTATTCTAGACATATCCTATTTTGTATACACTTTGAATTGCCATATGCTATGCTATTATTATATAAATTCTATTCTATCCTATTTTGTATACACTTTGAATTGACATATATTGGATTATATAAATTCTATTCTATTCTACCCTGTTTTGTATATACTTTGAATCGACATATATTGCATTTTATACATATATATATATTTTTTCTTTTCTACACATATTATATTCTATCTATTTTATAAGCACTTTGAGTTGACTTATTTGTTTATATGTTGTATCCTTCCAGTGGAATATGAGGGCCTTGAAGGCAGGGATTGTTTTGATTTTGTATGGGGATTCCCCAGCTCCAAAAACATAATACACCCCCACCAAATACGTATTTCTTGAATTGAACTGAATTCACGGCCATCTTTCTTTTGTGGGAGCAATCCCCTTGGCTACAGACAAAAGGTAGCTCTGTCTCCATTCTCGGACACAGGCAGGCACAGAGCACAGGCAGACTGCCTTTGATTAGGCAAAGTTAAGCATTTTCCAAGGTCCGCTGGCTTCCCGTGATAGTTTGTGGCTGGGATGAGATGATGTCATCACATTCTCACTGTCAACCTAAGCGAGGTTTCAGTAAATGCTCGATCCACCCCGTCTCCAGACACAGATCAGAATATCGCTCACTGTTCCAATGTGCATTTGCAGAGACTGGACAATAGAAATGCCTCTCCATCCACCCATTATTTCAGGAGTGGTCACGGTGAATGACCTCAGAAGGCACTCTGGGCCAACAGACGGTTGTGATGAGTGTGATTAAGCCACTGAGGAACCTTCTTCACCCCAGTAAATCATGCCTGCCAGTTTAATTCTATATAAATCCAGGCCAGAGCCAAAGGATGAACTTGGACTTAGCCACATACTGGGAAAGCCAGGACACAATACTCAAGAAAAGAAGGTAGAGCAGGTTCTTCTGGTAAAGATTTTCACTAGAAAATCTACCCTAGAACCACTGAGTTCAAATCCAAGAAAAATTATTATTATTACATTATAAATATATTTTTATAATGTAAATAACATTGTACATTACAATACTGTTGTTTAATTATTATATCATTGTTTAATATTGCTATTTATTAATTATATTAAGCCTTAAATATATTATTAGTAATATTTACATATTAATAAAAGCAAAATGGAGAGACACTGTAGCCTAGTAGAGGGCTGGCCTTTAGGGCAGCTGGGTGGTGCCATAGTGCATAGAGTGCTGGGCCTGGAGTCAGGAAAACCCATCTTCCTGAGTTCAAATCCAGCCTCAGACACTTACCAGCTGTGTGACCCTGGGCATGTCACTTAACCCTGTTTGCCTCTGTTTCTACATCCATAAAATGAGCTGGAGAAAGAAATGGCAAACCACCCTGGTATCTTTGCCAAGAAAACCCCAAATGGGGTCACAGAGAGTCAAACATGACTGAAACAACTAAACAAAAATAATGACCAGCTTTTTTTTTGTCAGATTCAGGACCTGTCTCTGCCACAGACCAGCTGTGCCATCATGAAGCTACAGGCGTGCCACAGTTCACAAACCACTGGACCTGGAATCTGGAAGACCTGAGTTCAAATCCAGCCTCAGACACTTGTCTAGCTATGTGACCCTGGACAAGTCATGTAACCTGTCTGCCTCAGTTTTCTCATCTGTAAAGTGGGATAATAATAGCACCTACCCTACTGTTTTTGTGAGGTACACATGAGATAGTACAGGGTGTCTCAATTTCAGGCTACATAAACTGTTAGAAGTAAATGAGAGAATATTTATGAAACACATCACAGTCCCTTACACACAGCAGGCACTTAATAAATGCCTGCTGCCTTGACTTGACCTCCTCCATGAGACCTTTCCTGATATCCCCTGGCTGCTAATGCCCCTCATACCTTGCATTTGTTTTTCATATAGTTGAACACAGATATGTACGCGTTGAGAGACAGTGTAATTTCCAGTGTGGCCACAGGGCACTCTGGGGTAAGGCGCTTCTACCAATGGAGGTCCCTGCTCCCCACTATGTAGCCTCAGAGAGCTGGGTGTTAAACAGAGGCCAGGCTGCATGTGGTTTATAAAACTTGAGCGCAGCCCAGACAAGATTAAAATGTAATTGGGAAATATTTAACAAAATAAATAAAAATACAATACAGCATAGATAATGTGAATTTATGGTTTTCTCAGTCAATATGAAGCCTGCAGTTATCAGTCTCTATTTGAGCACTGAGATGGAAGTGACTTGTCCAGGGTCACATAGCCAGTGTGTTTCAGAGGCAGGATTTGAACCCATGTCTTTCTGAATCCAAGGCCAGTTCTCTATTCCCTCTGCAGCACTGCTTCTCACTGGATTCACCCCTCCAGACCTTAGTTTTCTCATCTGTAAAATGAAGGGTTTGGACTAGATGCCTTTGAAGGCCCTTTTTGGCTCCACATCTTTGCTCTCCTGACCCTGTTACAGAAGAGCTGCTGAGCTGTCTTGGGGAAGGAAGTTTCCACACTGGAAGGTCCCCATAAGGATGAAAGGACAGGTGTGAAAAAAGATCACAGGATCACAGCTCTAGACCTGGGCCTCAGGGGACATCTGGTCTGAGACAGAAAAGGAAACTGAGGCCCAAGGAGGTGCCAGTGATAATAAGAGCTAAGATTTGAACTCAGGTCTTCCTAAATTCCTGCCTAGCTCTCTATCTCCTATTCCATGCTGGAAGCAGGACTAATGAAGATAATAACGACCGATTTTTATATCATGCTCAATTAAGTTTGATGAAGCATTCTCCTCCCAATAACCCTGGGAGGCAGGCAGAATAATTGTTAATATCTGCATGCAACACAGAAAAAAAGTGAGGCTGATTTGCCTGCCCCAGGTTGGCCGGATCAGAATTTAGGTCTTCCTGAGTCCAAATGCCTCAGGTTCTCCACTATGACTAGCTGTGCGTGCCCTGTTCTGCCTGGCCCCAGAGGGCAGAACCAGGAGCAGGGGGGAGAAGAGAGGCAGCTTTGGGCTTGGGGCATGGAAATGCTTCTTACCCTTGACAGCATTCCCAAAGTGGGCACCACCTCACCCGAGACCCCAGAGCAGAGGGTGAGTGGCTCTGTGCTGGGTATAGTGGAGTGGGGATCTATAAGCAGCTGGGCAGCACCATGGATAGCACACTGGGTTTGGAGTTTGGAATGCCTGCATTCAAGTCCTGACGTGTGTGGCAAGTTACTCCACCTGTCTGCCTCAGTTTTCTCATCTGTAAAATGGGGATAATAATAGCACCCATCCCCCAGGATTGTTGTGTAGGTAAAGTTCTCTGCAAACCTTAGATCACTACAGACACGTTAGATGCTGCTGCCTCAGTTTTCTTGTCTGTAAAATAGGTATAATGATTATACCTACCTCTCGGGTGTTGTGAGGATCAAATGAGTGCTTTGTTAACTTAAAAGTGCCATAGACATGCTAGCTATGATTATTAAGGATTCTTCTTACACATGCCAACCCTTGAAGAGAGTTGTCACACCTTCCCCTAGAGCCTTCTCTTGGCTAAACATCTTCAGCTCCTTCAGCCTGTCCTCGTGATGCAGACTTAAGGCCCTTCTCCATCTTGACTGCACCCTTCAAGATCCTGTCCAGCTTACCAGTGTGCTATCTGCACTATGGCACCCTGAAATGAACACAATACCCCAGGGGAGGTCTCATGAGTGCCGAGGACGGCTGGACTCTCATCTCCTCGCTCTGCCTTTCTTCCTGCCCAATACCCCACCAGCATTCTCGGCTGGCCCATTACACTGCTGACATGATGTTCATAATAGCTAAGGCTGGCAAAAGAGGTTTGGGGAAGAGGTCTTGTGAGAAACTGAGGCACCAACCTGGCCCCAGAAAAGACCAGAGCTCTCCCTCCATGGGAAGCAAACAGACTCACCTTTAGAGACACCTGCTCACGGAGGGTGGAGTTGGCATAGGCGAACGTGCTGGCCATCCCAATGCACACGGCAATGCCTAGGGGGGGACAGACGGGGGTCAGGCTCGTTGGTGGAAGGAAGGAAGGGGCACTAAAGGCATTCCCAGGATGCCCCTCCACCTCTTGGCACCCATCCCCAGCTTCCTTCAGAGCACAGCCCCTCGTACCCAAGGCCTTTCCCCCCTGCCCACCATTATTAGCATCCTCTCCAACCCCTGGATGAAGCTGCTTTGTATGGACTCATTCCTTATCTGGGGAAACACACCAAATGGAATCTCCCAGACAGCCTTGGACGTTTTCATTTGTTCTCTCTGTATCCAAGGGACGATAAGGTATACACTTAATATTAGTGTGTGCCTGTCAATGACTTTATTAAGTACCTACTATGTGCAAGGCAAGAGAGACAGCCTGAGGTAGTGGCTAGAGAGCCAGCCTCAGTCAAGGTGGCCTGGGTTCAAATTTCCAGGCAATTCTCTAAGACTTCATGTGAGGTAACACATAGGTGCTGATCTGCATTGCTAAAAAAAATTGGGAGGGGAAGCTAGGTGGCGCAACGGATAGAGCCCTGGCCCTGAAGTCAGGAGGACCTGAGTTCAAATGTCAAATGTGGCCTCAGACCAAACACTCAACACTCATTAGCTACTAGCTGTGTGACCCTGGGCAAGTCACTTAACCCTAATTGCCAAAAAAAAAAAATTGGGAGTCCCTTATATTGATGAAGTTAGAAGTCTCGCTCCCCAATAGGCCTCAGTGTTCAGTATGGTGCTTTGCAGGATTTTAGGGGAAAGGGAGTTAGGGGACAAAAGGAGTGGCCTGAACTTGTGACTTCATCTGGTTAGGGAAATCAGACTTGGAAACGTTTTCTGTTGGTATAGACTGGCAACCTATTTGCAGTTTATAATCTTAGCTGTTGTGGGCCCTGAGAAGTTAAGTAACCAGTCTACAGCCATACAGGCAGTCATTAGATGCCAAAAGCAGGCCTTGAACCCAGGTCTTCCTGGTCCAAATTCAGCCCCCACCCCCACAAGGTGCCTCCCTCGCCTAGCCCAGAGTAGGGAGGGGACTTACGATTTCACTGGCCTAGGGAATCCCAGGTGCAGCTTGGCACCTGTGCTAAGACTTAGTCTCAGCTGTCTAGAGCACTGGAAAGTGAAGGGACTTAATGAAATGGTGATAATAATTCACTTCAAAAAAAGTCAAGTCTGATATTAATTGAGTTTTTAAGCCACCTTTTCCTAATTAATGAGACAGATACAAAGGAAAGAACAGTGGATTTTGGAGTCTAAGGTTATGTCTGACTCTTCATGCCCCCATCTGAGGTTTTCTTGGCAGAGATACTGGAGTGGTTTGCCATTTCCTTCCAGCTCATCTTACAGATGAGGAAACTGAGGCAAACAGGATTAAGTGACTTGTCCAGGGTCACCCAGCTAGTAAGTGTCTGAGGCCAGATTTAAACTGAGGAAGATGAGTCTCCCTGACTCCAGGCTGGCGCTCCATGAACTATGGTGCCACAAGTATAAATGTTAGTGATTGTGTTATTACTGTTCAAAGTCTCATAGGAATGAAGCGTCAGAGAGGTTATTGGAACCCCAGGTTGTCTGACTTGAGAGTGAAGGATCTTGGCTCTCTAGGCTTGAAATCTGTGATCTAGGTCCAAGTTAATTCCCCTCCATGTTCTTTCTGGGTCACTCAAGACAGACCTTCTCAGAACTCACCCAGCTTATGTTGGAAGCACAGTTTGGCCAAGAGGATTAAGATGAAAGGGAGTCCTTTCTGCAGCCAGCACATCACGGCCTTGAGTTCTGAGAGGGCTGGGGCCGGCGTCCCCGGCTGATCTTCGCCACCTTCTTCTCCATGCCCGTGCCGGTCACCACCCACATGCAGCAGGGAGCTTCCTCGGTGGTGGCCGTGGTGGAAGTGGTGGGAGGCTGGTCGGTGATGAAAGGTCCCGCTCTCTCCCCGGCTGGTGCCTTCTTCTCGGGGGGCTGGCATCTGTATGAACACCTCCCCACCTCCAGGGGATGAGCCCAGAACCAAGCCTGACTGGAATGGGGTGGCTGTAAGGGTACCTGGCTGCAGACCCGCTAATCCGGAGAAGATGGGTGGAGAGGAGTTATCTTCGAGCTTCAAACCTTCAAAGACACCAGTTTCGTCCACACTGGTCTCAGAGCTGAGGGTCTGGCTTCGGTTTCTGAGGTGAAAAACAAACAAACAAACAAACAAATCTTCTGTTTTTTACTTTTATTTGTAACCCCAGTGCTTACCACAGTGTCTGTACATAGTAGGTACTTAATGCTAGCTGACTGTGGGAAAAAATGTTCCCAAAAGATACACAGGTAGTTGAAAGAAGGTCCTATACACACCAAAATATACTAAATATGTTTAGTATAAATACTTTAGCATTTAGTATTTATATATCATATATAGCATTTTGTTAGTATTTATATTAGTATAAATATATTAGTATTTATACATTTGGTATAAATACAAAATATACCAAAATGTTCATAGCAATATTTTTTTATAGTAGCAAAGAACTAGACACAAAGTAGCTGTTCATTAGCTGGGGAACAGCTAAACAAAAGTAATGTCATGGGCTACTATTGCACTGCATGAAATGAACAATGTGATGAATCCAGAGAAGCATCAGAAGACTCACATGAACAGATGGAAAGTGAATTCAAACACTGATTTCAGTGTATGGAGAGGGGTGGGAGGGAAAGAATGTGGAACTCAAAAGAAAAAAATGAATGATAAAAATAAGTTATTTTTTTAAAAATAATGGTAAACTAGGGGGCAGCTATGTGACACAATGGTACAGCACTAGACCTGGAGTTAGGAAGACCAGAGCTCAAATCTGGCTTCAGACACTTACTAGATGGGTGACCCTGGGGAAGTCACTTAGCCCCGTTTGCCTCAGTTTCCTCAATTGTAAAATTAGCTGGAGAAGGAAATGGCAAACCACTCCAGTATCTCTGACAAGAAAATCCCAAATGGAGTCACAAAAAGTCAGACATAACTGAAAATGACTGAATAACAACAAAAGCGTGCCAGGTAAGCACTGTGCTAAAATCTTAGGGATACAAGTATAAGAGAAGAGGCTGGATACCCCTACTTCAATTGGTCAATAACACAAATCTGATTAAGTTTTTAAAACATGTAAATAAGATTATTTACACCCTCTGATTCTTTTTTCTGGTTTTGAACTCCTCTTTAACTGGGTCAAAGGGTCTGGAAGAGAACGTTCTCCCAAGGGCTTTAAAAAGCTGGAGAAACCTTCAATGTTCTTCAGTTCTCTGGTGGATCAGTTTGGTGATGAAGGACTCCACATTCAGGCTCATTAGAAGGAATCACTCTTGGCTACAGAGGCAGAGAAGAGAGAAGAAAGTTTCTCCCTCTTCTTTCTCCCTATCCCTCCAATGACCAAGTCACTAGAGAGAGAAGACCACCATTCAGAGACCAAGCAACCGGCCAATAGCAGAGAAATATACTGAGGGCAAAAATCACCCAAGAAAGGAGAGGCTAGAAGGGGGGGGCAGAGAGAGACAAACTGAGAACAAATATTGACACAGATGAAATTGTTTCAAGGAACATGACCTCTGACACCAGAGAAAAATGCAAGCTCTGGATCCAAGAAAGGGCTTCTAGTAATGAGAAGCTGTGAGCTCACTAATTCTCCCCTGGGCTCTGCCTGTGCATCCTTGAGGAAGAATACACCATAGGCTTTTGGGAGAATTTGTACCAACTGTCCTGACTACAAGAAGTTACCTGGCTGATTGATGTCAACGAAGAACACACTAGTGAAACTCCCTTCTGTCATCTCCTAGGTCATAAAAGTATTACATCACACTAACATACCATTTCTGTTCAGCCATTCCCCAGCAGACACCATAGTTTCCTGTTCTTTGCCAATACAAAAAGAGCTGCTGTAAATATTTTTGGTCTGTATAAATATAAATATAAATATAAATTTTTGTGTCTGTATAAATATTTTTCTTTTTTTATCTATTTATGACTACGCCTAGTAGTCATGCTGTTGGTGGTCAAGGGGTGTGTATAATTTAGTGACTTTGGGGGTATAATTCTAAATTCCCTTTCAGAATGGTTGAATCAATTCATAATTCCACCAATAGTACATTAATGTACCTGGTTTCCCACAGCCCCTACAGCATGTCATTTTCCATTTTTTTGTCATCACTGTTACTTTGATGGGCGTGAGGTAGCACCTCAGAACTGCTAGTTCAAATCCAGCCTCAAACACTTACTAGCTGGCAATAATTGTAAAGCACTTAGCATTGTGCCTGGCACATAGTAAATGCCACATAAATACCTCTCCACTTTGTATCTGTTCCTCTGCTTGGTTTTAACTCCACAGAACAAGATACCCCCAGTGTCCTGTCCTGACTCTCCTCCTACCTTTTCCTGCCTCCTTTAGATTATAAGCTCCTTGAAAGAAGAGATTGTCTTTCTTTATATCAACTGTATCCCCAACACTTAGCATAGTGCCTGGCACATACAAGGTGTTTCATAAATGTTTACTAGATGGAATTATTAGCTATTATTATTAATTTGCATTTTTATAATTATTAGTGATTAAATATTTTTTTCCATATCCTGTTGACAGCTTGGACATCTTTGAAAATTGCCTGTTGATATCCTTTGACTATTCTGCAATTAAAGAATAATTCTTATTCTTAAAAATTTGAATCAGTTCTTTATATATCTTGCAAATGAGACCGTTATAAGATAAAACTTACTACGAGGATTTTTCCAAGTTAACAATTTCCCTTTAATTTAAAATACGATGATTTGGTTCGTACAAAACCTTTTTAATATTATGTAATCAAAACTGTTCATTTCATCTCTAGTGATCCTCTCTATCCCTTGACTGGTCACAAACTCTTCCCCTGTCTACGGATCCAAAAGGTGGATATCTAAGGAGCCAACATTCTAATGGAGGAGAAAAAGTATATATTAGTACATACAAGATAAATATAAGGTGTTCCAAAAGTCTTAAGCGTAGTTTTGAGCTTCAATATCCATTAAAACTAATAGCTATTTAATTTCAATTAAATTTAATAGCTATTAAAGCTTAAAACTTCACCAAGACTTTTGGGACACTCTGATGGAAGGCAGCCTTAGAGAAAACAGTAAATAGAAAAATAAAGCAATCCTTACTCTCAAGGAATTGATGACTGTGCAACAGTAGAAACAGCAGCCAGAAAAGAAACAGGATGCTGAGTAATTAGAATGACCAGACCTGGCCACGAAGAGTTAAGAAAATCTGACTCTTTCTCTTCTTTGCAGAGGTGGCCAGGGAGGAGGGGAGGGAGGGGCCTATGGGTGCAGAATACCATATATAATGTCAGACTAGGTCAATGCAGTGTTTGATTTGCTATGCATTCTTTCTTCCTTTTCTTTCTATTCTTTGTTACAGGGGGCCATCTCCAGTCATCCTGATCTAAATCTTGCCCTGAGGAGAAGGTAAGGCTGGTGACCCTGCACAGCCCTCCCTCACTCAAATCAAAGTCAACTGCGAGTCATGTCATCAGCTGCCTGATGTCATGGCCTGTTCAAGAAGGAAGGACAAACACAATACAACAACAACAACAACAACAACCACCACCTTTGTTACAAATGGCTTTGGGGAGACAGTAGGATGGGAGGGGCAATTTGGAAATCAAGGTGATAGAAACCTCCCCCCCCCAACAAGACTCAATTTTTTTTTAGAAAGACAGGTAGAAAGTACTCAAAGAAGGGACTAAATGAGGAATGAAATAAGTAAAATTCACGTTCCTAGAATTTCAAGAGCTCCAGCCTAGGTTCTAATAAATGTGATTAAAAAAAAAAAGCTAACATTTATATAGTACTTTAAGGTTTGGAAAGTACTTCCTCTCATCATCTTGTTTGATCTTCCCAACAATCCAGTGAGATATAGATGCCAATGTTATCCACATTTTAGAAACGAGGAAACTGAGGCTGAAAAAGGTAAAGGTAAAGCTCCAGAGTCACACAAATACACAAACATCAAAATCAGGATTTAAATCATGTCTTTTTGACTCCATACCCAGCCCTCTATCCATTTCTATAGTCTGCTACTTCTCTACAAATTTGAGACTCAACTATTCCCATTCCCTGGGGGATCCATCCCCACAGATATTAGGTGGTTAAGTCACCATGGAAATTACAGTGAATTGGGAGTCACAGGAACCTAGGCTTGTATCCTGCCTGTTTGACCTTGGGGGAAGTCACTCGTGTGAAATGAGGACATTGGGATAGGGGATGTAAAAGTCCCTTATTAGATTTAAATCTTTAATCTCATTTTTTTTTTTTTTAGCCCAGAGAACTCTCTGGGCATTCAGGAATTTTGGTCATCAAACAGACATTCACTTTCAGGGACAGCGGCCCTCAGCCTTCCCCCAACCTAGATAGCTCTAGAGGTATTCAGGACCTTGGACAAGTCATGTTGTGTGATGCCCCCTCTCTTCCTAAGACTATTCATCTCAGTGAACCTGGATTAAAATAAACATCAAGGTTAATGTTAGTAAAGTAAGAGACAGCTGGTGGTACGGTGGATAGAGGGCCGGGCCTAGAGGCAGGAAGACCTGAATTCAAATCCAGCTTCAGCCTCTTATTAGCTGTGTGACCCCTGGGCAAGTCACTTCACCTTTGACTGCCTGTTTCCTCAACTGTAAAATGAGAATCATAATGGCATCTACCTCCCAGGGTTGTTGTGAGGATCAGATGAGACAATGTTTATGAAGCTCTTGGCATGGAGCCTGGCACACAGTAGGTGCTTAACAGACGCTTCCTTCCTTCCTTGTGTCCCCCTCTCCTTCCTAACTTCTTCCCTTTCTTCCTTTCCTCCTTCTCTTCCTTCATTTTCTCTCTTTCTTCTTTACTTCCTCTCCCTTCTTCCTTCCTTCATTTCTTCCCTCCCTCTTTCCTTCCTTCTTTCTTCCTTCCCTCCTTCTTTCCTTCCTTTCATTTCTTGCATCCCTTTTTCCTTCCTTCTCTCCCTTCCTCCTTCCTTTGTTTCCTTCTTTCCTTTTTCCTTCCTTCTTCCTTCCTTTGTTTCCTTCTTTCCTTCCTTTCTTCCTTCCTTCCTTTCTGTCTTGTCAAGTGCAACCTGAGTCAGGAGTAGAAATGGAAACTAGAGAAGCAGAGGAGGAATAATGATCCAGGTGTGACCTAGCTCACAGGTAGTAAAGTATTCCATGAACCTTAACATAGTATAGAAATTGGGGTTGTTATGAATAACCAGCAAGGACAGTCCCCAGACTGCAAAGTGAAAGTCTTTGTTCACCAACAAGGACGAAGAATTCCTCAGCATGAGAAGTCTGGCCCACAAAGGTGAGACTGCATCCATACACACCACCACACACACACAACACACACACACACACACACACACACACACACACACACACACACACACACACACAGAGCCATCTTCTCCTTTATCCTGCCTCCGCTGGGAACCTTGGAAAACTCTCCTGGTCCCCTTGCTCCACAAAGTGCTTGGAAATTTGCAGAGCTCTCAGCGGACTCCAGTCCTCCCAGGAAATGCCCACTGCCCCCAAGCAGGGCTTTTTATAGCCCTGCTTCAATCCCTGGGTCCTCAGACTTGAACCAGCAAGGACCACTGGGGGAGCAGGGGGAGGAGAGACAGATACACAGGTATGAGAGAGAGTGGCTGTGAGGATGCTCCTGGTTTAACCATTTATATGCTGGCTAACAGACAGAGCAGCGGTTGGCATAGAACAGACTGGGCCCCATATCCACATCTGACCATCCTATGCATCTTGGGGGGAAAAGGGAATGCAAAAGAGAGGACAAGAAATGCTACTCAGGGAGGCGAGGATGATGACTGACGACAGAGAGAATTTGGACCTGCTCAACTCTTATTTCCTTTTCTTTTTTTTTTGGTTGGCCAAGGAAACTATAGTTCACAGATTTAGAGGTGGAAGGGACCTTACAGGTCACTGAGTTCAACTCTCATTTTACAGGTGAGGGAACTAAGACACAGTGAGGTCAGTGACCAAGGATCGCAGTTCTAGAGCTGGAAGGCCCCTCGGAGGTCCAACTTCCTCATTTTTTGGATGAGGAAACTGAGGCCAGGAAGGGAGAAGTGACTTGCCCAAGGTTACACAGCTAGGAAGCACTTGAAGTGAACAGGTCTTTGGACTCCAAGACCCCATCCACTATGTCACGCTAGAAAGGACAGATAAAAAACAGATAACAGGGAACAGATAGATACCCAAGACAAGCATGGAGCTAGTAAGACAGAAGGTAGGGTGGCACACATGGATAGAGCACTCAGGAGGACCCGAATTCAAATTCATACACTTCTCAGTTATATGACTCAGGGCATGTCATTTAACCTATCTGCCTCAGTTTCTTCCACTGCAAAATGAGGATAACAATAACACTTACCTTCCAGGGTTGTTGGGAGGATGAAATGAGATAATACTTGTAAAAACACAGCACAGTGCCCAGCACACAGTAAGTGCTTAATCATGTCATTAATGATTCAATGCCAATTTGGAAGGAGGTTTGCAGGGGAGTACCCCAGGGATCTGTGCTTGCTCCTTTGGTATTTAAAATAGGTTCATACACCTCATAGATTTAGTACTGGTCATCTAGTCTAACCTCCTTATTTTACAGAGGAAAAAACTGAGAACCAGAGAATTTAAGTGATTTTCCCAAGTTCAAAAGGTAGGAAGTGGTCAAGCCAAGGCCTGCAACCAGATTTTCTGACTTCATATCCAGAACTTTTTGTAACACAGATAAAGGCGTAGACGGCATGCTTATCAAATGTGCAGAAGATACAAACCTGGCAGGGACAGCTATCAAAACAGATGATGGTCAGGACTCAAAAAGACCTTGACAGTCTAAAACACTAGGCTAAATTGAATAGATGAAATACAGAAATGGGCATTTCACTGAGCTGGTGCAGGCCCTCATCACCTCTCACTTCTGGTTGGGCTCCTGTCTCCAGTGTTTCCTCACTCTACTCTATTCCCTATTCAGCTGCTGAAATGATCTTCTCAATCTCTCTCTCTCTTTCTCCCCCCGTCTCTCTCTGTCTCTCTCTCTCTCCCTCTCTCTCTCTCTCTCTCACACACACACACACACACACACACACACACACACACACACACACACACACACACTCTTCTTCTCAATAAACTCTAGTAGTTCCCTATTAAGGCAGCCAGGTGGTACATCGGATAGAGCACCAGGCTTGGAGTCAGGAAGACCTGAGTTCAAATCCAGCCTCAGATACTTACTTGCTGTGTGACCCTAGACAAGTCACTTACCCTGTTTGCCTCAGTTTCCTCATCTGGAAAGTGGAGATGATAAACATCACCTACCTCCCAGGGTTGTTGTGAGGATCAAATTAAATAATACTTTTAAACACCTGGCACATAGTGGCACCACATAAATGCTTATTTCCTTTTCTTTCCTTTCCCCAGTGTGACTCTGGGCAAGTCACCTCAACTCTGCAGGTCTCAGTTTCCTCAACTATCAAATGGGCTCACTAACACTTACTCCAACGGTCACAAGGCCTTCAGAAATCCGACCTCTGCACTCCCTACCCAGCCCAGCACCAGGGAGAACGCCTGGTCAGACTCTCAGCGTCCACCAACACGTGCGTGCATGACATCACTGACACTCAGCCAGAGAAAGGGACGAGCACCAAGTGTGACCACAGGGGCGGCGGCGTTACCTTTCGGGGGGAGCGCTGTCCGTGTTGCTGCTGTGCCGCCTCTGCATCTTTCTTAACACCTGAAACCAAAACATCCCATCAGGTCCCTGTGCTGAGAGCCCCCCCACTCCCTTTGGCCCTCCGTGGCCTCAACTGTAAGAGAGGGCCTTTAAAATTTATGATAAGATCATTACCTATAGCTCCGTTCTAAGGCCCCTCCAGCTCTAACATTCCCTTTTCTAAGGCTCCTCCCAACCCTGACATTCCCTGTTCTAAGGCTCTTCTTAGACCTGACATTCCCTGTTCTAAGGTCCCTCCTGGCTCTGACATCCCTTGTTCTAAGACCCCTCCCAGCTCTGACACTCTCTTTTCTAAAGCCCCTCCCAGCTCAGACATTCCCTGTTCCAAGGCCCCTCCCAACTCAGACATTCCATGTTCTAAGCACCCATCCACCCCCCCACCCCACCCTTCCTACACTCCTCTCTTAACATTGAAAGAAATCACAAATCCTGTCCTGAGATGCTCTGCACTCACTCCCCACAGCTGTGATGCAGTCCTGCACTATCTACATGGCAACCACTGTGAGATTGTCATAGCAACAGCACCAAGGCAACTCAGGCCCACACTTGGCAACCAACCCAGCCTTGAGGGACCACATGCTCACAAGGGCTGGCCCATTTCGACCACCTGTTTTCCTGACCTCCTTGACCCCAACCTTTCTCACTGTGGAACCAGGGGTCAAATTAGTTCTCAGGAAGAAACTAGCAGGGGAGGCAAAGGAACCAGTTTGGACTGCCAACATTGTGAGGATATGGCCCGACTCTCAGGGGTCAAGTCAAGGGCAGGATTAAAGATGCTTACTATTTCTGGGCAGTTACTGGGTTGCATATTTCTCTAGAGCAAGGCCCATGCCTGATTGAAACTTTGTATCTTCCACCAGTAGCTAGCTCAATGGTCTCTGTCCACTGTGCTTAATACATATTTTTTCAATTAAGTGAATGAATGCATGATTCCCCTACAGAATATATAGTCCATGAAATCGGGGATTATTTTTCATTTTTGTTTATTTTCTCTAGGGCCTACCTGGCACACAGTAGGTGCTAAATAAATGTTCAAGGAATAGAAATGAATTAAATAATTAATGGGAGATTGAAACACTAAGTGGGATATTATACAGATCTTTACTAACCTCCTATCAGTTGACAAGTGTTTAGTAAGCACCTAATGTATGCCGAGGGCAGCGTTAAACACTGTGGACCGATACAAAGACAAAAACAGCCTCTTCCTTCAGGGAGCTTATGTTCTGTCAGTGGAAACAACATTTACATATTTGAAATGGACATTTTGAATATTTTATATAGTATTTTAAAAATACAAAGCAATTTTAATACAAATTTTTAATACAAAAATACAAGGTTATTTTAGAGGGAGAGGAGAGGCTGTAGCATCTGGGGGGATTGGAAAGAAGTATGTGTACAACAAGGGTTATACCAGATGAACCCCAAGGTTGCTTGTAGATCTCAACATAAGATCCTAGGATTAGTAAGAGATTAAACAAGTTTCAGCTACTTATTGGGGGGGGCAGGAAACAGGAAAATGAAGATGTGTATTTTTTATGTTGTTCAGTGGTTTCAGTCCTGCCTGATTCTTTGTGATACCAGTTGGGGTTTTCTTGGCAAAAAACACTGCAGCAGTTTGCCATTTCCTTCTCTAGCTCATTTTACAGATGAGAAAACTGAGGCAAATAGGGTGAAGTGACTTGCCCAGGGTCACACACCTAACAGGTGTCTGAGGCTGGATTTGAATTCAGGTTTTCCTGACTCAAGGCCTGGTACTCTATCCACTATGCCACCTAACTGCCGTGACAAGCACAGTTTCTAGGAACACGGGGGTGATACTCCCCTGTCTTGTGCCCTAGGCAGATTTTCCCTAGAGACAGCTAGGAAGTAAAGTACATTGAGGCTGGTGACCTGCATGGACCTCCCTCATGTAAATCCGATTCATTTGCACGTCATGGCATCACCTCCCTAATGTAATGGTCCTCTTCAAGAAGGAAGGACAAAAAAACAACAGTAAGTACACTGGGGCAGCTAGGTGGCGCAGTAGATGGAGAACCAGCTATGGAGTCAGGAGGACCTGAGTTCAAATCGGACCTGAGATACTTAATACTTACTAGCTGTGTGACCCTGGGCAAGTCACTGAACCCCAACTGCCTCACTAAAAAATGAAGAAATAGGTAAAAATTTTAAAAACTGAATATTTAAGAAAAAAAAGTACACGAATGTTGGATTAGAATAAGGTTGTTGTGGGGTCGAATGAAATAATATTTATTATGTGCTCTGTAAACCTTAGAGCCCATATGAATGGTAACTATTATTGTTGTTATGATAACTGTTATTATTATAATTATAATGATGATGATGATGATTAATCTGTTCAGTCCTAGACATCACATTTTATTTTATTTTGCTTTTTATCTGGTGAGGCAAACGGGGTTAAGTGACTTGCCCAGGGTCACATAGATAGCAAGAGTCAAGTGTCTGAGGGTGGATTTGAACTCAGGTCCTCCTGACTCTGAGACCAGAGCTCTATCTACTGCGCCACCTAGCTGCCCCCCTAGACATGACATTTTAGGAAGGACACTGTGGAACTGGAGAGTGTCCAGGGAGGACAGTCAAGATGGTAGAGGACCCTGAGTCCACTTCAAATATGTAAAGTTTGAAGGAGTTAGAATATTTACCCTGGAAAAGAAGAGACTTGGGGTGGGGGAGAAAAGAGCTATTTTCAAGGCTATCCTGTGAAAGAGGGGTTTGCTTTGCTCTGCTTGCTCCAGAGAATGGATTCAATAACAATGGGTGGAAATTTCAACAAGGTAAAATGAGTCTGGCAGGGCCTTGCTCCAGAGAGAATAAATTCTTGCAGAAACGGCTGGCTATTAGACTGTCTTCTCTGTGAGGGCAGAAGCTGGCCTCTTCTGTATTCTCTGCACCACAGTAGGTACTCAGGAACTTTCTGTTGGACTGAATCATTCCCCAAGTCTTGTATACAGTAGATGTTTAGTCAATGTTCATAGACTTGAATCTCTCTACTCTTGCACCTTTGGGGTATCCCCATTTAGCTGCCCCCAGGTATTCACAGGGTCAAGGGAGAAATCAGAGGTCTTAGAAACTGGCTTCAGTGCCCAGCATCCCCACAGCTGCCAAACTGATACGGCACAATTTGAATCACGACACTCCCTGGCTCAAACAGCTCCATGGCTCCCTATTACCTGTAGAATCGAAAGAAAGCTCCTCTGCTTGGCCTAAAGCCCAGCTTCAGTTTGCTTTTCCAGACTTATTATGCATTAGGCTCCTTTTTGGATTCAGGTTCCAGCCAGAACGGACCACTGGCCGTGGCTTTGCCCAGGACATTTTGTGCTTTCCCCTGGCTGCTCCCATGCCAAGAATGCCCTCCCTCCTCCCCTGTCTCTCAGAGTCCTGAACGTCCTTTCAAGCTCAGATGAAACCTGACTCCCTACGTGAGGCCTTTCCAGCTGCTCATGCCTCCATCCTGAAATACTCTGTGGCTATTTTTTAAATTTATTTACATGGATATGTGTCATTTCCCTCAACAGAACATAGCTCTTTGGAGGCAGGATCTGTTTTCTGTTTTGATTTTGTATCCCCCCAGACCCTACCTCGGTGCCTGGCACATCATAGGTGATTAATAAGTCCTTGTTGATCGACTGATTAATTAAGTACGTGACAGCAAATTCTGCTTACACGCTCACTGCTGGTCTAATCAGCAGTATAATGCAGTGGTTGTGCATAGACAGTGTACAGGTCTCAAAGACACAAAAAGCCTGGTTCAAATCCCACGCCTGACATGTACATGTATGGCAAATTATTTCATCTCTCTGGGCCTCAGTTTCCTCATCTGTAAAATGAAAGGGCTGGGCTCAATAGTCTTCAAGGCCCCTTCTAGATCCACATCTATGACCCTATTATTTATTCCTTTATGTGAGCAAGTCATCTAACCTCTCTGAGACACAATTTCCCCATCTGTAAAATGGACACAAAAATAACTTTTCAAAAAAAGTTTTGTGTTGTAAAAAATTTTTTTTTACAAATATTTTTACCCTCACTTTGCAGATGAGTAAATTAAGTCTCAGAGAGCCTCAATGGTATTTGCAAGCCTCAAAGGAATAACGCAGATGAGGTGTGTTAAAACTTCAAAGCACTACCCCAAAAAAGTCAGTTATTATCATTATTCGTATGACCATAGCTCTAGAGCTGGAAGGGACTTCAGAATCATCTGGTCTGACCTCATTTTATTATAATTAATAACAATAATAACTAATAATATAGAAGTATACATAATACAGAATGTTATATCTTTATATATCAAATATAATATATATTCTTTAATGTATCAGAAATCTGTATTATATAATTATTAATAATAAAATGAGAGGTTGGACCAGATGGCTTTTGAAGAATCTTTATAACATGTATTATACATAACTGTTTTATAATATAGCCTATGTCCTATAATATACACTATATCATATAGCACAATAAACTACACTACATAATATATACTCCAATATTATATTATATACTATATGCAAAGTTTTTTGCAAGCCTTTAGTAAATGCTAGCTGTTGTTAATTATATATAATTATGATATATCATAATCCATTGCATATTATAATAACTATAACAATACATTACAATAATTATAGTGTTGTATATATTTGATTATAATGTCTTGTTGCTGTTCAGTTGTTTTCAGTCGTGTCTGACCCTTAGTGACTCCATTAGGGATTTTCTTGGCAAAGATCCTGGCGTGGTTTGCCATTTCCTTCTCCAGCTCATTTTACAGATGAGGAAACTGAGGCAAACAGGGTGAAATGACTTGCCCAGGGTCACACAGCTAGTAAGTGTCTGAGGCCGGATTTGAGTCCTCGCTGCTGCGCAGTAATTTACACTGTTGATCACCCTCCTCTCCAGGATACTCTCTTCTCTCTAGGTTTTCAGGCCACTCTTTCCTGGTCCTCCTCCCACTTATCTGACAGCTCCTTCTCTGTCTCCTTTGCTGGATTCTCATCCACATCATGCCTGCTAAATGTGGAGATCCCCCAAGGATCTATCCTGGGCCCTCTCCTCTTCTACCTTTAAACTACTTCACTTGGTGATCTCATCAGCTGCTGTGGCTTCAATTATCATCCTATGCAGATGCCTTTCACATCTACACATGCCCCTAACTTCGCTCCTAACATCCAGACACACATCTCCCATTGCCTATTGGATATCTTGAACAGCATGTCTTGTACATCAAAAGATATATGAACTGCATGTGGACATTCTAAATTCAACATGTCCAAAACTGAACTCTTTATCTTTCCCCAAACCCTTCTGTCTTCCTAACTCCTCTGTTACTGTCAAAGGTTCCATCATCCACTAGTCTCCCAGGCTCACTAGTCATCATTCTCACCTCCAGATTCTCTTTCGCCCCAACCCCCTCCAATGAGTTACCAAAGCCTTTTATTTCTGAGTCTCTCAGATACACTTCCTTCTCTCCACTGACACTGCCCCCACCCTGGTACAGGCCCTCATCACCTCCAATCTACATTACTGTAACATCCTGTTGGGTCTACCTGCCTCAAGTTTTTTCCCACTCCAGTTAATCCTCCACTCTGCTATTACACTGATTTTTTAAAACTTGCACATCTGACCATATTATTCCCCCATTCAATAAACTCCAGTGGTTCCTTATCTCCAGGATGAAATACAAAATCCTTTGCCTGTTTTTTTAAAGCCTTTAGTAATTGGGGCCTTTCCTACCTTTCCAGTATTCTTACACCTTACTCTGTGGCCCAATGACCACATCCCTCTTGCTACTCCTGACTTGGGGCATTTTCACTGGCTGCCCCCCACCCCCTCCTTCCTCATCTTTGCCTCCTGGCTTCCCTGGTTTCCTTCAGCTCCCAGCTACAATCCCACATTCTTCAAGAAGCCTTTCCTAGTCCTCCTAGATCTAAGGGTTTTCCCAGAGAGTATTATCCCTGAACCACCTCTTCTTCAGACAAACTGGTTTTCAGGCTGTCTCCCCTGGTAGGCTGGGGGCTTTAGCCTTTCTTTATATCCTCAGCCTGGCATGCAGTAGGCTTGCTAGCTTACTGACTGATTTGGAATCAGAGAAGCTGGGTTCAAATCCTGGCTCTTTTACTGACTAGCTTGCCCTTCCCATCTCTTAGCCTTAGTTTCCCCATCAGCAAAATGAAGGGATTGGATGGGAGGATTTCAGGGATCCCTTTCAGCTCCAAATCTATGATCTCACGACTCTGTGTCGGGTCGTGAGGGGTTATGTGAACACGACAGCTCGGCCATCAGGCCCCAGGTTTTCCTACGCTCCCCAGCCCCACATTTCCTGTTTTACAGCTGTTGCTCAAGCTGGTTGCAAAAGAGAAAATACCCAAGAACTACAGATCTCAGAGGCCATCTGCACCCTGCCCCCAATACCTGTAGAACCCTATGACATCCCCTATGGGGGCTTGTTCATTCAGCCTTCACCTGAAGACTTCCAATGACAGGGAAGTCACTACCTTCTGGGAAGCACCTTCAGCTTTTGGACAGCTCCCATTAGTAGGAAGTTTTCCCTTACAAGGCTAAATATATCTCCCTGAAACTTCCAGCCATCTTTCCCACACCAGGCTTGAGATACTTGAAGGCAGAGATCATGTTTCCTCCCCCGAGTTTTCTTTTTTTCCAGGCCAAACATCTCCAGATTCTTCAACTGCTCTCATGAATCCTACTGGAAGCAAAGGGCCAGCTAAGAGTTTTAGCTGGGCTTCCCCTGTGACTGTGGACAACTCATTTCATCTCTCTGAACCTCAGTTTCCTCATCTGTAAGAAGAGAATGCTCTTTCTGACTCACTGGATTGTTGTTAGGAAAGTGCTTTGTAGAATACGAAGTGCTCAGCTCTGACAACCCCTGTTCTAAGGCCCCTCCCAGCTCTGACATTCTTTGTTGTAAGGTCTCTTTTAGCTTGGACATTCTAGCTTATAAGGCCCGTCCCAACTCTGACATTCTAAGTTCTAAGGCCCCTCTCAGCTCTGATATCCCCTGTTCTAAGACCCCTCCCAACTCTGACATTCTAAGTTCTAAGGCCCCTACCAGATCTGACATATTCTGTTCTAAGGTGCTTCCCAGCTCTGATACCTCAGGTTCTAAGCTGTGATCCCACGTCTAAGAGTCTACGATTCTGTCACACACACACACACACACACACACACACACACACACACACACACACACCTCTCACCTGGTTCAGAGTTGAGAGCCACATGGACTTTAGAGCCCCATGATGGTGGGACCTGAAGTTGGCATTCAGGACCAGTGGGGTGTTCACCCCTGCAGACAAAGTCCCAGGAATCGTGACAGGGAGGACTGGTGGATCCCAGCAAGAGCAGACCTTCCCTTCCTCCTTTCCTTCTTCTCTGGGAGCACGCAATGGTCAGGCGAGTTTGCACGAGATGCTACAGAGCCCAAGAGAAAACACAAAGGCCTGTGAAAGCCCAGCCAGACCCCAGGCATTTTGCTGACAGTGATTCCCTGCTGAAATGGCTCATGTTCTCCCGGGCACCCAAGGGCTGACTCTGCTTTTCTCTCTTCCCCATGACCTTCTTAAGGGCATCTGTCAGGCCCAGGAGCCCCGAACAGTTCCTCCCCCTCTTCTTTATTCTCCTTGATCACATCCCCAGCCTATTGCAACGGTCTCCAAAATGCCCACTCCATCTCTAGACCTTCTTCCTCCAATCCATCCTGTCCAGCTTGCCAAACAACCTCTCCTGGGATCACATAACTTTTCTACTCAAATTTTTCCAGTGGTTCCCTATTAGATAAACTTCAAATTCCTTTGCCTGGCATTCAAGGCTTTCTATAGTCTGATTAGTAGCCTCCCCTACCCCACATATTCTCCAACTTTCTTTCAGACTCTCCCCTGATTCTAGTCTGCCACAATTATCTAATGCTTTCTCTTTTTTTCTAAGCCTTCACTCATGTGTTTCCCGAATACCCCTTCCATCTGCCCCTAATCTTCATTTGCTGAAATCCTACCCATCCATTCTACAAGACCCAACTCCAATGTCACCAGCTCCAAGTAGACTTCTCTGATCCTTTAGAGGATACAGTGGAAAGAATGGCAGGACTACAGTCAGGAAGACTTGAGTTCAAATCCGGCCTCAGATACTTATTAGCAGGGTGACCCTGGTCAAGTCACTTTACCTCTGTCTGCCTCAGTTTCTCATCTGTAAAATGGGGTTAATAATAGCACCTACCTCTCAGGGTTGTTTGAGAATCAAATAAGATAATATTTGCATAGTTCCTGGTTCACAGTAGGCACTACAGAAATATTAGCTATTATTATTTTTAGTCAGAAATTATCTGCTTTTCCCTCCAATTCTGCCTCCCACAGAACTTCTCTCAACACATTTTGCTGCATTTTGTACAAGAGTTATTTTTGCATATGTCATTTCCTCTCTTACCCTCACCACAAAAATCCACAAACCAGTAGGCAGGGATAATTTATCTACCCTGGGAGAGCAGACAAGCGGGCTCTTCCAGGCACACAGTAGGCATTTAATAAATTGTTGTTGTTGTAGGACTTTAAAAATTGGTACCATGGAAAGCATGTTAGGCCTGGGTTAGAATTGCAGCTTAGCCACTTCTTGCCTGTGTGACCTTGAACAAATCAGTTTACCTGGGCTTGGTTTTCCTTAAGTGCAAAATGACAGGATGGCTTTGATGGGCTGATAGGACCTTTCCAATTCTAAATCTGTGATATTTTGATTTTTAGTAAATTGAACAGCTCCCACACTCTGACCCCCCCCCCCAGTAAAAAGAATATTGGTAAGGAAAATTTAAAAAAAATTTTTTTAAACCAGTTCTATGATACTTCCTGGGCTCCTGTTTCCTCCTATTAAAATGGGGTGTGTGTGTGCACGTAGGTGCCTCTGAGGTCCCACCAGCTCTAAAACCATGCCTTTATTACAATTTCTGTGGTGTAGGGAGCTCCCCAGTGGAGAACTTCTTCTGTCAAGTTGACGCATATCATCCTCTGAGGCCCATGTTTTTGGAAGGAGGGTGCTTTGTTTCACGACCATATAGACTACATGCTGCCCGAATAGAACCTGCATCAACCATCTTGCAAACAAGTTCGTGACAAGGTGGGTGGGCGTGCGCAGGAGAGAATAAAGAAGCTCTCGGTGGGGAAACAACGCTTCCAAAACCAGCCACCCTTAAATCATCACCAGCAGAAGCGATTCGAGGCTGGCACCATCCCAAGCACTGATACATGCATAACGAGACTTACTAAATCTCGCCCTTCAGATCTAACCCAGCCCTAGATTCTCAACTCCCACACCTTCTTAAATGAAGAAAGTACTCTTCCATACAATCAATCAATTAGCATTTATTGAGCCCGTAAGGTACGCCGGGCACTGTGCTAAATGCTGGACAATAGGCTGGACGTCACCATTCCGTTAATACACCGCTTTACAAGCCTCTTTTAAACACCATTGCAGACCCTTTCCTAGATCACAGTTGCAGAAAACAAATAAATATCTCAATTTTTGTAGAGTGAAAAAAAATCTCATTTTGGAATTTTCTTTTTTTCTCCCATGTCATTTCCCCGCGTTTGAATCAAATCTATTTTTGCACCACCGCCCTCCCCCGTCCCGTGGAATCGCCCTGAGTACCCCAGAAAGGCGGAGCCGCGGCTTCCAGCCCAAGCAACGTTTTAATCCGTCCCCACGGGCCTTTCCATTACTGCACTTTAGGACACGCACGTATCAAGCATCTCTTGCCAGCGTTGCGGCGTGGGCGTGCAGCCAGGTTGCATTTTCTGCTGCAGGTGCCCAAGGATCTCTCTCCCCGCAATCCAGCCACGCACAGACCTCTGCAGACTCCCGGGGCGTGGTGGAGAGGGGGGCGGGGGTGGGGTGGGGGAAGGGCTGTAGCCGCATCCGAGAAAATAAAAAACCTGGGTTCTTTCTTTACCTGCAATCACAGCTGCATCATTCATGTCCTGCCAAGCCAATCAACTGGGCCGCAAGGCGTCCACGTGACTTCCGACTTCTTCCTCCCAACCTCTCCCCCGTCCATTCCTCCCCCGGGTTGGAGATTGGTTTGAGCCGTGGGCGCTAGGACCGCCTCAAAGCCTCCTCCTGCCTCCCGCAATCGAACCCCCGCCTTCCTTCGTCGCCTCAGCCAATAGGAAGGCTGAAACTCGATCGAACGGCGACCGCGACGCCCAATGGCAAGCGAGCTCCGTTGGAGCTCGGTTGCTGGGGCGGACGGGAGGGTGTGAGGTAGAAGGAGCGGCTCTGGCTCTGGCTTCGGGTTCGCTCTGGGCGCGCGCGGGCCCGGGCCGGGGGGCGGCGGAGCCCCGCAGCTCGTGCCGCTGCGAGTGCTTCGGTGCGTGCTCAGATCGCGGGTCCGGGCAGCAAGGGAGAGCTGAGCATTGCACAGCCCGAGCCGGGGGGTGGAGGAGAGGGCAAGGTTAGGGGCCAGCCGACCCCGGCCCCCCTCTCGCTCCCAGCGGGCCAGGAACCGCCCCCCCCCCGGCCGGCCGGGCTCGCAGGAGCACCCCAGCCTTGCCAACCGGTTCTGCCCGGACCCTCGCGTGTGGGAGGCAATGGGGCGGGGGCCCTGCGCTGGGCTGAGCTGAGCTGTCGCATTGGGGGGCGGGGCCCGGAGCCCCCCGCCCCACTCCGGGCTGCAGCCGGCCGTGATGGGCCCCGCAGCCCAACCCACCTCCCGGGCTGAGCCCCTTTAGCTCGGAGCCCCCCCTCCGCGAGCATAGGCCCTTGCACCCCCGGCCCCCGCGGGCTCGCCGCAGCCGGCAGCGGGGGCGGGGATGGTGAACTTGGCCTCTATGGTGTGGAGGAGGCTCCTAAGGAAGCGCTGGGTGCTCGGCTTGGTCTTCGGGCTGTCCCTCATCTACTTCCTCACCAGCACCTTCAAGCAGGTCAGTATCACCCCCTCCTTGTGGATTTCTTTTGTCCATTTCGGCTGTAAAATTCTTGGGAGGTAGGGGGAGGGGACCTGGGTTCAAGCCGCCTTCTGCCGCCTCCAGGCCAGCAGACGTGAGTCGGTGCTGGAAAAGATCTTAGAACATGAGAACGGGACCGCAGGGAGGGACCCTCAGAACCCAGAAGGACGCAGCAGGGAGGGACCCTCAGAACCCAGAAGGATGCAGCAGGGAGGGACCCTCAGAACCCTATGTCACCGCAGGAAAGGATGATAGGACCCTGGAGTGAGAGCTGGAAGGGACCCCAGCTCATCATGCCCTAATTTTACAGCTGTGGAAACTGAGGCCCGGAGAAATTTCAGTGACACGCTCAAGGTCACAAGGTAGCCAATGGTAAAATCCACTTGCCCTCCCTTTCAGAGCCAGAGCTGGAAAGGCTTAGGGACTCGCCCCAGAGGGTATGGATTTGCTCTAGACCAGTTAGGCAATTTTAGCTGTTTGACCTTGTACAAAGTCAGAATCGGATTTTCTGCGCCAGAGGGGATGTTAGGGAGAGATACCGTATCTCTCAGTTTCACAGACCTCCCCGAGTGCCTTGCCGGGAACTAGAACCCTGGAGTCGAATCAGCAATGCTCCACCCACTTTGCTGGGCCTGGTTGAAGTCCTTAAAATGAGGCTAGAGCTACCTGACTTAATTACCCCATTAGCATCGTTGGGATCTGAGAATGTGATAGAGAGAATCGAGTCTCGGGATCTTGGGGGATGGAGAGTAAAACCGATCCAGATGGATGAAATCGATGGAAGGGGACATTCCTGGCTGTATCAATAGCGAATCCGGGAGCCTAGTCTCGTGATTTTGTTTCTTTCTGCTCTGCGGTTTTCTCAGCAATCACAATTAGGTGCAGTGGGCCGGGTTCCAGTTATGTGGTTGTCTTGGCTGGGTGGTTGGGGGGCGGGGTACCAAATATATGAACAGGAAGAAAATGACCTTGAACGGGCAATAAGGAATGTTTCAACTTTTCCCCAACTTGGCTGTAATACTTGGCAGGAGCGTTTGGAAGAATGGAGAATAAGGAGGAGAAAACCGATCCTTGCCGCCTTTGTTTTCTTAATTGTTTTGACTGGTACTAGGAAACCAGGGTTCTTCCCCTCCCCCACCGTTTTTTTTTGTAAACAAGGGCAGAATGTTTTGTATGAATTGTGCCTGTGAAGTGTTGTTTTTTGTTTTTTCGAAAAACGAGCTAAACTTTAAATATTTAGCCGGACAAGGAAAGCGGGGTGGGGTAGAGTAGGTTACTGGCTCTGATTTCTAGTGTGCCGCAGTCAAATAGAAAAGGGATTATCTTTGTTCTGCCTGCTCCCTGAGGATAGAATGTGAAGCAGATGATGGAAAATGGAAAGATTTGATTTGGGAAGGAAAAAGAAAAGCCAGCTTTGTAAAGATGAGGCCTTCCAGATGGAGAGAGGGCTTCCTTGGGAGCAGTAGTGGGCAGATGCTGGAAGGGATGGCGTCTTGTTTAGAGGTCATTTAAAGGACGTTACTTGCCATATGCAAGATCTCCAGGATGCAAAGACAAACACTTCGTCTCTAGAAGGATTTATATTTTCCTGGGTATGGCATTCAGGAGATTCTCATTCAAGCCTAGATTGGACTGCCAGTTCTGTGAAATACATGCAGCTGGTTTTTAGTAGTTTAAATGCCACTATGTCAAGGGTTCATCAGCCAGCCGACATCCAGGACAGTGGTTTGATGGATGCAGTGAGACCTGAGTTCAAATCTCCTCTCTGGCTGGGTGACCCTGGACACCATCTTGATGCTCTAGGCCAGAGGTGTCCAACAGGGCTGCCTTGTGGCCAGCAGTATTCACCAGATGTAAATGCAATTGGGAAATATTTAACAACATATGTGAATATACAATAGGACATAGATAATGTGTGGTTTTCTTAGTCTACTGTGGCAGGGATCTTTATGTATGGGTTAGTGACCCTGATTCTATTTGACTTTGATACTACTCTAGGTAATTCTCTTTTTTTTCTAATTTTAACTTAATATTTAATTTTTTCCATAATTACATATAAAAACAATTTTTAACATTCATTTTAAAATTTTTTTTGAGTTCCAAATTCTCTGTTTCACTCTCCTGCCTTCTTATTGAGAATGCAAGCAATTTGATATAGGTTATACATGTACAGCCATGCAAAACATATTTCCATGTTAGTCATGTTGTGAAAGAAAAAGGATGCTTCGATATGCATCCAGACTCCATCAGTTTTTAATCTAGAGATGGATAGCATTTTTTATCATAAGTTCCAGGCAACTCTTAAGGACCATAAGTTACAGAGAAGGTGCCATCCCTCATTGGGAGAGGGAATTTCCACACCTGGGAGTTCCCTATTTTTGTGAAATCTTAGCTCTAGCCCCTATCTCTGATTTCTAGGAGATGCTACCATCTGGCCGCTGAAGAGAATGAGGAAGGATTTCATGTTGGAGGTGTCTTTGAAGGGGACTGTGTGACACAGTGGATAGAATGCTGGGCTTGGAGTGGGAGAGCCCAGTTCCAATCAGGCCTCAGACACTAACTGGGTGACCCTGGGCAAGTCACTTCACCCTTTCCAGCCTCAGTTTCCTAATTTGTAAAACTGGGATGAAGTATATAAAGCTACATAAGTGCTAGCTATCATTATCACTAGTTGTTTCACTTGAGTCATTTCAGTTGTATCTGACCCTTCGTGAGCCCATTTGGGGTTTTCTTGGCAAAGATACAGGAGTGGTCTGCCATTTCCTTCAGAAGCTCATTTTACAGATGAGGAAACTGAGGCCAACAGAGTTAGGTGAGTTGCCCAGGGTCACACAGCTAGGAAGCGTCTGAGGCCAGATTTGAACCCAGGTATTCCTGATTCTCAGGTCTGATGCTCTATCCACCGGGCCACCCAGCTTCCTCATTGAGCCCCCTCTGAGCCCTGCTTATATGCTGGTATCTTAAAGAAGGCTTTCTCAAGCACTGTGATACAGAGAAAAGAGCCTTGGTTCTGAAGGCAGAAGATATCTTCTGGGTTCAAATACTGCCCTGAGGCTTATCATCTGTATGACCTTGAGTAACCCCTCTGAAGAGCAGTTTCATCAGCTGTAAAATGGGCAGATGGGGTTTGATGACCTCTGAGGTCCTTTACAGCTCTTGTCAGGCCCCCGCCTTGCCCCCCCCCACCAAGAGGATTTTGTACATATTTTCTTTCTTGTATAGATGTATCTGTGAACATTTTGTATCTGTCTAGGATAATGTGAACTCCCATGAGAGGCAAAGGCTTTTTCCTGTTTGGTTTTTTCCTTGGTACATGGTAGGGGCTTAATAAATGTTAGCTATAGTGAATGGATTTTTGATCAGCTCTGGGTTGGCCTGGGTGCAGTCACCCTCCCCTCCCCCACCAATTCTGAGATTTGGGAATTTCCAGCTTCAAAAACCCATGAGGTCTTAGCTGCTTGCTTAAGATAGAAACTGGCATTTGACCAGTGCCTCAGTTTCTATCAAGTAGCCCCAGGAAATCGGTCATTGGATGAGGTGGAACGATGATTGTTCTCCTTTCTCTCTGTCTGTCTGTCTGTCTCTATATCTCTTTCTCTCTACCTGCAGAGTAGTTATAAATATTAACAGGGATTCTGTCATGCTTGGCTTCTTTCCAGCCTATGGCCTCAGTTCCTTCCTCTGTCAGCAGTTTGGGGAAGGTAGCTTGGGGCTGTGGGGCCTGTTTGGTTTGGGTCTGAGGTCAGGAGACTGTGGTCTGATTCGTCACTGTCAACATTTCTTGAAAATAATGTAAAAATTGTCTCAGCTCTTAATGAAAGGCCATGTCAAAAAAATGACATCACCTTCATTTTCAAATACAGACTTTCCCCCTCCTTTACCCAGTGATGAGCCATCTCTAAAGTGTGATTCCTGCATGAGCTTGGCTTTTTTTTTTAATATTTGCATAACTATTTCAATTTAAGTGGTTTCTTTTATAATCCTTTGTCTTTTATTTTATGCATTTAAATGCATAATTCTGAGAAGGGATCTATCTGTAGGCTTCCCCAGACCACCCATAGGGTCCAGAGTCCATGATATAAACAAGGTTAAAACTTCTGCCATATATTATGGCAAAGAATTAAAAAAGAAAATTCCTGGACCACTGCGGACATGGCCATTCAGTTTCCCTACCAATAAGACTTGTTTCCATTGTGCCTTGTGGCTCATAGAGCACTTTTCTCACAACAGCCCATATGAGGATGAATCTGTAATGGAACCATTACTGTCCTCATTTTGCTGGTGAGAAACTGAGCCTTAGAAAAATGAAATGACTAACATTGGTATGACTCTTTCAGGCAAAGAAAAGTGCATGTGTAAATATAGAATATATATATTAAGTTATTCTCCAGATTATATACGGTAGAGAAGAGGAAGAGAGAGAGAGAGCACCTTTGAACTCTGACATTCCCTGTTCTAGGGACCCTCCCAGCCCTGACATTCCCTGTTCTGAGGCCCCTCCCAGCCCTGACATCCCCTTTTCTGAGGCCCCCTCCCAGCTCAAACGTTCCCTATTCTAGGGACCCTCCCAGTCAGGCATTCCCTGTTTTGAGGCCCCTCCCAGCCCTGATATCCCTTGTTCTGAGGCTCAGACATTCCCTATTCTAGGGCCCCTCCCAGCTCTGATATACCCTGTTCTCAGGCCCCTCCCAGCTCTGACATCCCCTGTTTTGAGGCCCCTCCCAGCTCAGACATTCCCTATTCTAGGGCTCTGTCTCAGCTCTGACATCCCCTGTTCTAAGACCCCTCCCAGCTCTGACCTTACCTGTCCTAAAGCCCCTCCCAGCTATGACATTCCCTGTTCTAAGGACCCTCCCAGTCTGACATTCCCTGTTCTAAGGCCTCTCCCTCATCTATTATTAAATAGCCTCTGAGACTATTGGTTGGTGAATGGGTACCCATCTAAATATGTAAATGTTATTCTTCACTGGGGGCTCCCTACGCAGATGAAATCATGAGTCTGGTCAGAAAAGAAGAAAATTGGGGCAGCTAGGTGGTGCAGTGGATAGAGCACCTCAGGCCAGACACTTGACACTCACTAGGTGTGTGACCCTGGGCCAGTCACTTAACCCCAATTGCCTAAAATTAAAATAAGAAGAAGAAAATTAAATCTTTACAACAGCGAGGAAGATATTGTCCATTTTGCAGCAGCACAACAGCTAGTATTCGTACATCACTAAGGTTTGCAAAGCAATTCACAGTTATTCTCATTTGATCCTCACAATGACCCTGGGAGGTAGGTGCTGTTATGATCCCCATTTTACAGATGAGGAAACTGAGGCAAACAGGGTTAAGTGACTTCCCAGGGTCACACAGCTAGGAAGTGCCTGAGGCAGCATTTGTAGGATTGGGTTTTCCTGATTCCAGGTCCCTCTTTGCCACCTAGTCGCCTCTGATTAGCTCAGGCATGACTAGAACACTGAGCAGATGGGTTTTCTCCATGTTTCTATCTTTTTTTAAAAGGGTAAAGTGTTTTATCTTTCCCAGAGTGTTCATGACCCATAGGTGAGGTCCAGAAGTCATGCATTGCTCACCATCATTTCTCTCTGGTCCTTCTCATAGGAGGAGAGGGCGGTGAGAGACCGGAATCTCCTTCAGGTTCAAGACCGTGAACAGCCCATCCCGTGGAAAGTGCAGTTTAACCTGGGCAACAGCAGTCGTCCGAGCAACCAGTGTCGGAACTCCATTCAAGGGAAGCTTCTCATCACGGATGAGCTAGGTACGGCCCTGGCCCTCTCCAGGCATCAGCTGGCTGCTCACGTGCTGCCCTGCTCTGGACCTCATCGTGGGCGTTTGTAGAAAGAGGAAAGCGGACAAGATCTCAGTTTCCTCATCTGGGATTATCAGGGATCAATTATACTCATTATCATATATTATATATTATTAATTATACTCAGTAATTATATATTAATTAATTAATTACCAGGGATAATTATACTCACTACCTACCCTTTGGGGAAGGTAAGGTGATCAGCATTTTTAATTTAGTGCTTATTCTGTGCCAGGCATACTAAAAAAAGCATCAACGTGGTTCTTGCCCTTGGTAAGCTCCCAATCTAATGGAGAAGCCAACACGTAAAAAACACAAGACATACAGTATAAATGGGAGGCGATCTTTGAGGGAAGGGACTAGCACTGGGGGAAGGAGGAGAGATGAGGACAGACCAGAAAGGCCTCTTGCAGAGATGAGATTTGAACTGAGTCTTGGAAAAAAGCCAACGGGCGGAGATGGGGAGGAAGAAGGGGGCAGCCAGTGGCAATACCAGGAGTCAGGGAAATGGGGAATCTTGAATAAATAAATCATTTATTAAGCATTTACTGTGTGCAAAGCTCTGTGTTGAGTGCTGGGGCAAATTAAAAAATTAGTCCCTGCTCTCAAGGAACTCATATCCTAATAGGGGAAACCGTCAGTGGAAATGACATTAAATTAGATCTGCTTGGCCGCTGTGCCTGTGGGCTGCAGGACCTCTCCAACTGATCTGCAGCTGAAAATTCCCTTGTCCTGCACCCTGAGGACCACAGGACCTCTCCATCTGATTTGCAGCTGAAAATTCCTTTGTCCCGCACCCTGAGGACCACAGGAGCTCTCTGATTCATTAACAGCTGAAATACGGTTTAAGCTGCAAGTCAGATGGAGACGTCCCATGGTCCTTTGGGTACAGCAGCCAAGCAGATAAGAAAACAGCTCGAATTTAATGTCATTTCCACTAATAAAATCTCATCTGTTTCTGATGTCGAACCATTTGACAAAGCCAAGGACTCTGGTGTGAGGAACAGTGTGGAGGCAGGTGTCACCTAATAAAAGAGGCCTTGAAGGGGAGGAAGGCATGAGAAAACTGGAAAGGCAGGAAGGGGACCAGGTTGGGAAGAGATTTAAAGGCCAAACAGAGGAAAATGAATGTATGTGTGTGTGTGTGTGTGTGTGTGTGTACACATATATACACACACACATATACATATATATGTATATATATATGTATATGTATATATATACAAACATGCATGTACATATATATGTGCTAATGCACATCGGTATTTATTATATTATGTAATACATATTACACATTCATATATATATGCATATGCGTGTGTATACATGGGTGTTTTAATATGTATGTATTACATATAAATTTTAATATAGAAATATAGTATATTATATATAAATATAGCATGTATATGTGTATACACACACGCATATATACATATATATATAAATAATCCTGATGGTGGTAGGGAGCCTTTGAAGTTTATTGAGTAGGGAAGTGATATGGCCCTTGCTTTAAGAAGGTCACTTTAACAGCTGCATAGAGGATGGACTAGTTCGGAGACAGACAAGACAGGGAGACCCCCCAACAGGCTAGGTGATAAGGGCCCGTATTGGTGGTGGCATCGTCAGAGGAGATTTGGAGACACGGGAGAGGTGTTCCAAGGGTAGAAGCAGCAGGCATTAGCAGCAGATTGGCTATAGAAGGGTCTGAGTGAGGACAGAAGGATGATGTCCCAGTTGTGAGCCTCAGTGACCGAGAGGATGGATGGATGGTGGTGCCCAGTCATGGGGAAGTAAGACAGAGGGGCGGGTTGGGGGAAGGATAGTGAGTTCTGTTTTGAACGTGTTGAGTCAGAATTTGAAGTGAGATCATAGCATCAGGTTGGAGTCCTCAGCTGGAAGAGGAAATGGCTCAGACAAGGTCACACAGGGAGATGATTCCCTGGTCAGTCTGTAGCAGCCACATTGCCAGACCCCTCTGAAGTTCCCAAAATTCTTTTCTTTAATCTCATCTCTCGCTTAACTAGTGATGATAAATCGTGCTAACACGGCACAGTTAAAGAGCATGAGTCAGACCCCCGAGGCCTCTGAATTGGGTTTCACTGCAGGGTCACTGCCACCCGATGCATAACTTGTAAGTCTAATGGTCAGACCCACGTGATCTGCAGCTGGTCTAATCGGCTGTGTACATCTCAGCCAGAATGGCTTCTTGACGTGACTGGTCACTCCCCTTGCGGTCAGGGAAGCGTGCCTGCCGCGCCCACCTCGGGGAGCGTCCACAGAGCTCCAGGTTCATCCTGGGGTTTCTCTTTGATTCCCAAGGTTACGTCTGCGAAAGGAAGGACCTGCTTGTGAATGGCTGTTGTGACGTCAACGCCGCCAGCGCTAGGCGCTTCTGTTGTGACGGCTGCTTGTCCAATGGATGCTGTGGTGCCTATGAATACTGCGTCTCCTGCTGCCTGCAGCCCAGCAAGGTAGGTCACTGGGATCGTGAAGGGTGCTTAATAAGCATTCACTTGTTCTAGCTTCATCCCAGGGGCATCTTATACGCATTTTACAGATAAAAAAAGAGAGGTTTCAGAGATTTGGAGTGACTTAGCCCCTTCACACAGCTAGTATCAAGGGGAGAATTCAAGCTAGTCTTCCTGCTTCAAAGTCCAGACCTAGGTCTGTTAGGAATACCAGGGAAGGAGGCATAGGGATGTGATAGAGCCTAAGATTGGGAGTTAGGGTGAGTGGGTGTGTCTTCAAATGCCAACTACTCTTTGTTATCTGTGTGGCCTTGGACAAATTACTAATCCCTCCGGGCCTCAGTTTTCCTTTTCTATGCAATGAGGAAACTGGATGATTATTAAAGTCTTTTCCAGCAGTTGTAGACCACCAGGCCTGGGATCAGGTAATCTAGTTTAGTTTATCACCAGCTTTGTAACTTTGATTGTCTAAATCTGTGAGCCTTATGTAGCCAGTTAGATGCATGCTTTTAAAGAGGAATCTGGTGGTCCGTGCGCAGTGTATGAGTGCCTGTTCATCCACAGCCCCACCAACATGGAACATTACCTCTGACTTGTGAAGGGTGTATAGTTTGCGTTTCTCCTCATGAAGAAGGACTATTCTTCCTCTTACCCCTCCTTCCCCCTCCCTGTCCTTTATTTCATGACTACTATTTAGACTCCTGCTGGGAGCGTCTTTCAGAACCTGCTGTCAATGACAGGAAGTTTGTTCCTGTATAATCCAGCCCATGTTTGCAAGGAAAGAAGCTCATTCCAGCAGAGCATTGTGAGCATGTTGGCGTTTTTTTAGATAAGGCACATCTTTCTCTTATAGCGCTAGGGAGGAAAGCACTGCATTTGGAGTCAGAGGCCCTTGAGTTTGAATTCTGGCTCCGCCACATTCTATACCTATGTGACCTTGGGCAACTCACTTCCCGGGGCCTCGGTTTCCCCATCTGTACAATGAAGGAGTTATACTAGATGACCTCTCCGAGGTGCCTTTTGGTTCCCAAACTGTGATCCCCTGTTCCTTCCTGGGCCTAGGCTTCAGTTGATTTATTAGGATCTAATAGCTTGAACCTCCTCTGTTTCTTCAGCAATTACTCCTAGAACGGTTCCTCAACCAGGCCGCAGCAGCGTTCCAGAATCTCTTTATGGCTGTGGAAGATCACTTTGAGCTGTGTCTGGCCAAATGCAGGACTTCATCTCAGGTGAGGAGATAGAATCAGACAGGGCAAGAAGGAGAGGAAGGAGGGAAGACTTGGGGAAGACCCAGGCTCTTTGGGCTGGAGGTAGGGGTAAGAATGATCATTTAAGTGATAAGCAAGCATTTATAAAGCACCTGCTGTATGCCTTCACTCTTCTAGTTGCTGGAGATTCAGAGACAAAAATGAAAATGAACCTGCCCTAAAGAGGCTTACATTCTGTCAGGAAGACAATATGTACATAATGTATTCAAAATAGATAAAAAAATAATTAGAAGGCATTTTTTTAAGCTGTGACTCTTGAGGTCAACTCCATTCACTTTAACAAGCATTTATTAAGTGCCTACTGTGTACCCGGCAGTGTACTGGGCACCAGGTATGCAAAAACAGACAGTCTCTAACTTCAGAGAGCTTATTGAAGGGGGATTGTAATTGTCTTTAATTCTGCATTCTAAACTGACCTGTTTGCTATTCCTTAAGCTTATGAATAAGTCCCCATCTCAGAGACTTTGTATACGGGCTGCCCCCACCTGTGCCTCTTAGAAATGTTGGCTTCATTTGAGGCTCATCTCATGTACCCACATCAACCAGTAAAAAATTAGGAAAGTACAGAGTAGACAGAAGGTATTACCTAGGAGGAGGATGCGCTAGCTGCTGGGGGGACTGGGAAAGTTTAGCTATTGTTAGTTCTCTGATTGTTGGGGGAACTTTTTTCCTAGTGGAAGTCTTGACTTATTTTTCTTTTTTTAAATATCACCACCATCACTGAGGAGGCAGAAGGATCCTGCACAGCAAAGAGGGCCGTTTAAAAAAGAAAAAATCTCCTTTATGGATGCCATGGCCAAGCAGCTCATTGGCTAACATCCACCCTCCTGACTTCTGCATGCTTGTCCTCAATATCAGACATAGTCTATTGTCAGATGACACTTGGGATTCTTTGCAATTTGGTAGGACTGATCTGAGCTTGTATTCCACAGCTAGAGCCTTTGAGGAGCCCGGGTTACCTCCAGTCCTCAGGGAAATATGTAAGCAAAGGTCTCTTTGGAAAATCCTTCAGAAGGATTCCTTTATGAGGGGTTATAAGGGCTATTGTCAGCCCATTACAAGATGGAGAAGCAAAACGTGTTCAGGAAGGATTGAAGGAAAGGTTCCTCCTCCCTTATCATCAGGGGCACTTCCTCCCAAAAAGTAGGAATACCTCAAGTCCGGGGAGTATCCCAGTATTGCCTGGAAGGAGGCTTTCAGGCCTGGGAGAATTCTTTCTTTCCTGCCCTTCCTGCAATAAAATTAGTTAGCACTTGCAAATAACTGCCTGTTTAAGGTTAGAGGAATATTCTGTGAGTGGAGAAGAGAGTTCTTTTATTATAGTGGTTGTAAGTTCTTGGTGGGGGAGATGAGTAAGAGACAAGCAGATACCTTTATGGATGGTTGAATTCTTTTTTTTTTTTAACTTTTTTAAAAAATAAATTGTTATTTTTTTTTAATATTCTTTTTTAAAAAAATTTGAGTTCTGAATTCTCTCCTTACCTCCTGCTCCTTCTCCACCCAGTGAGAAGGCAAGCAATGTGATATCAATTATACATACGAAGTCATGCAAAACATTTCCATAGTAGCCATGTTGCAAAAAAAGAAAGGGAAAAAATGATGCTTCAGTCTGCATTCAGAGTTTATAGCTCTGTCTCTCTCTCTGGAGATAAAGAACATTTTCATCATGGGTCCTTTGGAATTGTCTTGGATCATTGTAACAATCAGAATAGCTAAGTCATTCACAGTTGATCATTGGACAGTATTGCTTTTGGTTTGTACAGTATTCTCCTGGTTCTGCACCCTTCACTTTGCATTAGTTCACATAAATCTTCCCAAGTTTTTCTCAAACTATATGGTTAAATTCTTGATAGAGGCACTGCTATGAAATTTTTTGTCTTTGCATCCCCAGCACTTAATTATAGTGCTTAGCACATACTAGGTGTTTAAGAAATGCTTGTTCAGGGGCAGCTAGGTGGTGCAGTGGATAGAGCACCAGCCTTGAAGTCAGGAGGACCTGAGTTCAAATCCGGCCTCAGACGAAACACTTGACATTTACTAGCTGTGTGACCCTGGGCAAGTCACTTAACCCCAATTGCCTTAAAGAAAAGAAAGAAATGCTTGTTCAGTCGGTTTGAAGCCAGAAAGACTTAGGTTCAAATCCTGCCTTTGATACATACTGGCTAGGTGACCCTGGACAAGTCACCTCCTCGTCTCATGCCCTTGACAACTGACATTTGTTGCAGAGAAGTTGCTGACTTGCATTTATAGAGGGTGTTTATTCACTGGGGAGTTCCCTTTTTTATGATATTATAATCAGCAGGATCACTCCCTGTTCCTCTCCCAACAAATAAATTCTTCTGTCTTTCAAGGCAGCTTAATGGTGCAGTGGATAGAGCTGTGGGCCTACAATCAGGAAGACCTCAGTTCAAATTGAACCTCGGACACTAATTAGCCCTGTGATCCTGGACAGGTCACTTAATTTTTGTCTGCCTCAGTTTCCTCATCTGTAAAAATGGGGTTAATAACAGCACTTACATTTCAGGGTTGTTGTGAGGTAACAGTTGTAAAGTGCTTAGCACAGTGACTGGGGACATAGTAAACATACATGTTAGCTATTATTGGCTATTTTTATTGTAATTAGTACTTATTATAATTAGTTCCAAGAACTCTCTCCACCACAGATGGCCTCTCAGCCTGGTACTGGCATTTAAGCCAGAGCTTTTGACCCTCCGGTGGGCACACTGTAATCTCCCCTTTCTTCTGTGGCTGGCTCCCACTTTGTGAAATCAATAGGCATGTTAGTTGATCAGCTTGCTTCTTCAACCTTAATCACCTCTTCAGCCTTTTTGATTTCTGAATTGTTCTTCTTTATTGTTTGTACTGAGATCTCTATCATTAGGCCATTGCTGGGTAAATGGCAGGTTTTATAAAAGCATTTGGAAGTTTCCTGGGTTACCATGTTCTTGAACAACTTTTTTCTTGGAATGGGCTTTTCAGGAAAGGACTACGTGTGGGGAGTTGAGAGTCTAAATAAACTCTGCCTAGTTGGAGAGATGGAAAAAGAAATACAAAAACTCACTGAAGAAAATAATTCCTTAAAAATTAGAATTAGCCAAGTAGAAGCTAATGACTCCACAAGACATCAAGAAACAATAAAGCAAAGTCAAAAGAAGGAAAAGAAAAATAGAAGAAAATGTGAAAAAACTGACCTGGAAAATAGATTGAAGAGAGATAATTAAAGAATTATTGAGCTACCTGAAAGCCGTGATCAAAAAAAGAGCCCAGACATCATATTTCTTTTTTTTTCCACTTAACGGTATTTTATTTTTTCTAGTTGCATGTAAAAATAGTTTTCAGAATTCACTTTTATAAGATTTTGAGTTCCAAATTTTTTTTTCCCTCCGCTCCCCTTCCCCCAAGACAGCAAGCAATCTGGTATAGGCTATACTTGTACAGTCATATTAAACATATTTCCACATTAGTCATGATGTAAAAGAAGAATCAGAACAAAAGGGAAAACCCACAAGGAAGAAAAAAAGAGAGAGAAGAATGTCTTTCGATCTGCATTCAGACTCCATAGTTCTTTCTCTAGATGTGGATAGCACTTTCCATCATGAGTGTTTTGGAATCTAGATGTCATAGTTGGAGAAATCAAGGAAAACTGCCCCTATATCCTAGAACCAGAGGGTAAAATAGAAATTGAAAAAAATCCACTGATCACCTTAAAGTGGTCCCAAAATGAAAACTCCCAGGAATAGTATTGCTAAAGAAAATACTGTAAGTAGCCAGAAAGAAATCATTGAAATATCATGAAAGCGTAGGCAGGATCACACAAGATTTAGGTGCAGAAGTAAAATTCTAGAAGGCAAAGCGAGCTGGGATTACAACAGAATCACCTGTCCAGCAAAACTGAGTGTAAATCCTTCAGGAGAAAAAAAATGGGCATTTAATGGAATAGAGGATTTTAATGGAAAAGACTAGAGCTGAATAGAAAAATTGACATTCAAATTAAGGGAAGCATACAAAGGTAAACATGAAAGAAAAATCAGAAGGGACTTAATATGGTTAAACTACTTACATTTCTATATGGGAATATGATACTTGTAACATCTAAGAACTTATATCATTATTAAGGGAGTTAGAAGGGGTAAACGTAGAGGGCGTGAGAGTGAGTTGACTATAATCCAGTGATCTCAAAAAAAAGGGTGAAAAAGAAAGGTACTAGAAGAAAATTATCTCACATAAAAGAGATGAGTTTTTACAGTGGAGGAGGGGATAGGGAGTGAGGGAAAATGCTTGAACCCTACTCATTGGAATTAGTTCAAAACACTCACTTGAAATCTTTTTTACCCAGCAGGGCAGTAAGAAAGAAAGGGTATAAGAGAAGGGAGAGGGTAGCAACAGAATGAAGGGTCAATTAAGGGAAGCAGTGGTCAGAAGGGAAAGACTTGAGAAAGAATAGGGTAAAAAAAAGAGAGAAGGATAAACAAGAAAAAATAAAATGGAGGAAATACACAGTAATCATAACTGTGAATGTGATGAACTCACCCATAAAACAGAAACAGCAGAATGGATTAGAAACCAGAACACAACAATATGTTGTTTGCAAGAAATACACTTGAAACAGAAAGACACACAGAGTTAAAATAAGGAACTGGAACAGAATATGTTATGCCTCAGCTGAAATAAAAAAGGCTGCAGGTAGCAACCGTGATATTGGACAAAGCAAAAGCAAAACCAGGCCTAATTAAAAGAGATAAACAGGATAGCTACATTTTGCTAAAAGGTAACAGACAATGAAATAATATCAGTACTAAACATACATGCACCAAATGGCAATGCATTCAGATTCTTAAAGGAAAAGTTAAATAATTTAAAGGAGGAAGTAGACAGTAAAACTGTACTAGTGAGGTACCTCAACTTTCCCCTCTCAGAACTAGATAAATCTAACCATAAAATACATAAGAAAAAAGTTAGGAAGATGAATAGAATTTTAGAAAATTTAGATATGGTAGACCTCTGGAAAAAAGTTGAATGAGAATACAAAGGAATATACCATTTTTCTCAGATGTACATGTCACCTTCAGAAAAATTGACTGTGTTTTATTAGGGCGTAAAAACCTCACAAACAAATACAGAAAAGCAAAAATATTAATATGCATCCTTTTTCCAACCATAATGCAATAAAAATTACCTTCAGTAAAGGACCTTGGGTACATAAATTAAAAATTAATTGGAAACTAAATAATCTAAACTAAAATAATTGGGGCATGTAAGTGGCACAGCGAATAGAGTACCAGGCCTGGAGTCAGGAAGACTCATCTTCCTGAGTTCAAATCTGGCCTCAGATACCTACTAGCTGTATGAGTTAGGCAAGTCACTTAACCCAGTTTGCCTCAGTTTCTTCGTCTGTAAAATGAGTTGGAGAAGGAAATGGCAATCCACTCCAGTATCTTTGCCAAGAGAACCTAAATGGGGTCGCGGAGAATTGGCCATGACTGAAAAATGGCTGAACAGCACCCCAGTAAAATAGAGAAAGAGCAGATCAATGAATTGGGCACTCAACTGAAAAAAAAAAGGCTAGAAAAAACAAATTAAAAATTTTCAATTAAAAACCAAATTGGAAATCCTGAAAATTAAAGGAAAGATTAGTAAAATTGAAAGTAAGAAAATGATTGAACTAATAAAACTAGGAGCTGGTTTTATTTAAAAACAATAAGAACAATAGAATAGAGAAGCTATTGGTTAATTTGATTTAAACCAACAAAGAAAACCCAATTACCAGTATCAAAAATGAAAAGGGTAAATTCAGCACCAATGAAAATGAAATTAAAGCAATTGTTAGGAGCTATTTTGCCCAATTATATACCAAAAAATCTAATAATCTAAGTGAAATGGATGCTTGTTTACAAAAATATGAACTGCCCACATTAACAGGAGAGGAAATAGAATACTTAAATTCTTAGAAAAAGAAAATGAACAAGCCATAAATGAGCTCCCTGAGGAAATAGCCCCAGTACCAGATGGATTCACAAGTGAATTTTACCAAACGTTTACAGAATAATTAATTCCAGTACTATTAGGAAAAATAGGCAAAGAAGGAATCCTACCAAATTCCTTTTATGATGCAAATATGGTGCTGATGCCTAAACCAGGAAAAGCAGAAACAGAGAAAGAAAACCATAGACCAATTTACTTCATGAATATTGATGCAAAAATTTAAAATACTAGCAAGGAAATTACAGCAATATGTCACAAAGATCATACATTATGACCATGTGTGATTCATACTAGGAATGGAGGGCTGGTTTAGTATTAGGAAAATTATCAGTAAACAAAAACAACAAAAATCATATGATGATTTCAGTAGATGCAGAAAAGGCTTTTGACAGACTATAACACCCGTTCCTTTCAGAAACACTAGGAAGCATAGGAATAAATGAAACTTTCCTTAAAATAAGTAGCATCTGGGGGCATCGACGTGGCGCAGTGGATAGAGCTGCAACCTTGGACTCAGGAGGACCTGAGTTCAAATCCGGTCTCAGACACAAAACACGCGACACTTACTGGCTGTTGACCTTGGGCAAGTCACTTAACCCCGGTTGCCTAGCAAAAGGCAAAAAAAATATAAAAATAAATAAGTAGTGTCTATGTAAAGCCATCGTAAGCATTGTATGTGATGAGGATAAACTAGAAGCTTTCCTGATAAGATCAGGGGTGAAGCAAGGCTGTCCGTTATCACCACTGTTATTCAGTATTGTACCGGAAATGTTAGCTATAGCAGTAAGAGAAGAAAAAGGAAATTAGAATAGGCAATGAGGAAACAAAATTAACACTCTTTGGAGATGATTTGATGGTATACTTGGAGAATCAACTATAAAAAACTAGTTGAAACAATTACCTTTAGCAAAGTTGCAGAATATAAAAATAAACTCACATAAATCACCAACATTTCTGTATATTACCAACAAAGTCCAGCAGGCAAGAGATAGAAAAAATATATTTAAAATAACTGCAGACGGTATAAAAATACTTGGGAGTCTACCTGCCAGGACAAACCCAGGAACTATATGAACAATTAAAAAAGACATTTTTCACACAAATAAAGAGATATAGACAATTGGAGAAATATTAATTGTTCATGGGTTGGTCAAGCCAGTATAATAAAAATGATAATTCTGCCTAAATTAATTTACTTATTTAGTGCCATGGAAAACTACCAAAAAATTATTTTATAGAGCTAGGAAAAACAGTAACAGAATTCATCTGGAAGAACAAAAGGTCAAGAATATTGAGAAAATTAATGGGGAAAAAAATTAGGAAGGAAAGTGGCCTGGTAATATCATATCAAACTATTGCATAGTGGTAATCATGAAGACAATCGGGTATTGGCTAAAAAGTAAAGGAGTGGGTCAGTGAAATAGATTAGGTACATAGTATAAATGACTGTAGTGGTAGTAAAAGACTGTAGTAATCTATTGTTTGATGAACCCAAAGATCCAGGCTTTGGGATAAGAACTCACTATTTGACAAAAATGACTGTAAAAACTGAAAAGCAGCTTGGCAGAAACTAGGTATAGACCAACATCTCACAATATATGCCAAGATAAGGTCAGAATGGGTGCATTGTTTGAACATGAAAGATGATATCATAAAGTAAAGGAGCATGGAAAACTTTGCCTCATATCTTTGGATGAGAAGGATTTTTTGACCAAACGAGATAGGATCATGGAAAAGAAAATGGATAATTTTGTTTATGTTGAATTAAAGAATTTGCATAAACAAAACCAATCTAGCCAAGATTAGAAGGAAAGAAGGAAACTGGGGGATGGGGGTGGAATTGTACAGCATGTTTCTGTGATAAAGCTCTCATTTCTCAAATACATAGAAGAACTGAGTCAAATTTAAGTATGAGTCATTCCTCAATTTGTAAATGATCAAAGGAAATGCACTGACAGTTTTCAGATCAAAGCTATCTGTAATCATATTTTTAAAATGCTCTAAATCACTAGTGGTTAGAGAAATGCAGATTTAAATAATTAGGTACCACCTCAGAACCATCAGGGTGGGTAATATGACAGAAAAGGAAAGTGACAAATGTTGGAGGAGATGTGGAAAAATTGGGACGGTAATGCCCCATTGGTGGTGGTGTAAACTGGTCCAGCTATTCTGAAGAATAACTTGAAACTATGACCAGAGGGTTATAAAACAGTGTATCACTACTAGGTCTGTAACCCAAAGAGATCAAAGGAAAAGGAAAAGAACCTATATGTAGAAAAGAATTTATAGCAGCTCTTTTCGTGGTGGTAAAAAATTAGAAGTTGTGAGGATGGCCGTCTATTGGGGAATGGCTGAACAAGTTGTGGTGTATTACTGTGATGGAATACTATTGTGCTATAAGAAATGACAAGCAGGAGCATTTTAGAAAAGCCTTGAAATATTTACATGAACTAATGCAAAGTAAAATGATCAAAACCAGGAGAACATTGTACATGGTAACTGCAATCATCAACTGTGAAAGACTTAGCTACTCAGATTAATACAGAGATCTAAGACAATTTCAAAGGACTCATGATAAAAAATGCTATCCAGAGAGACAATTGATGGAGCCAACATGTGGACTGAAGCATAATTTTTTCACTTTGTTTATTTTTCTTACTTTAAAAGATTTTTGCAACATGACTAATATGAAAATATGTTTTACATGATTTCACATGTTTAATTGCTATCACATTTCTTGCCTTCTCAGTGGGAGGGAGAGAACTGGAATTTTTTTTAAATGAGTTTTAATAAATAATAAAAATTTTTTAAAAGAAACCAAGAAAAAACTATCAGTGCTGATGCTTACTGCTGAAAGAATATATCTGTCTGCTTTTTGTAGCTCCACTCCCCATTTCAAGTGACTTTCCAAGCTAGAGTACCCTCTCCCCTCGTCAACATTGCCCCGTATGTCATATTTCCCTCATTATAATATGAGCTTCTTGAGGATAGGGATTATTTTTGGACTAGCACAGTGCCTTGCATGCAGCAGGTGCTTAATATATTTTTGTTGAATTAATGGTTGAATTGGAGTGAGAAGCAGCCAGGGTGTGCAGTGAGTTTCTAATTGAGGTTGTCTCTCTCTTTCTTCCAAGTTAGAAAGTCTTGTGAAGTTTTATGTGTTCTCTGTGTCTGTTTGGTGGTCTGTCTCTCTGTCTCTCTCTCTCCCTCTCCCCCTCTCTCCCTGTCTCCCTCTCTCCCCCTTCCCTCATCTCTCTCCCTCTCTTTCATGACTCTCTTCTCTTTCTATTCCCTTACAGAGTGTGCAGCATGAGAACACCTACAGGGACCCCCATAGCAAAATATTGTTATGGAGAGAACCCACCAGAGCTCTTCCCTGCATGATGGGGAGCCAGAGTAGCAAATTGTACCCATGAGGCCAGAATTTGGAGAAGGAAGAGTGAACCTGAAGACCTCAGCCTGCTCTTGGGGGAGTGGTGATGGTGGGAGGGAGGGGGGTATTTCTTCAGACTCAAAATGAGCCCATGGGTTAGAAGACTTACCCTTCCAGTGGGTGCTGGAGGATGGTGCTAAAAGGGACCATGAGGAACCCGGGACCCCTCCTCGTCTGCCCACCCTTCTCCCGGCGCTGAACACTTTGGCCCTGCTGGACAGACACGTCCTCTCAAGCTGCAGCTCAGATCGGGTCCAGCCGGGTGGTCGGAACGCCTCAAACAGAGCCGACATCCTCCCCTGTCCTCCCCTCCCTCCTCCATTCCCACAAAAGAGAACTGGGAGTTGTGCCCTTTTGGTTAGGCTTTGGGGTTCAATGTTCCACTCGTGGTCAGAGCGCCAGCTTTGTATATAACTGTAAATTATTTATTGGACTGATGTGGGAGAGTAGAAAAGAGGAGTATTTCCTGCAGCCAAAACCTATTGCCTTTCAGCTTCTAGTCACATGTGTCCCAGAGCAAAAGATTAGATTTCTGCTGATTCCTTGTGTTAACATGTTTTGTGAGTTAAAAGGATCTATTTGTACACATCAAATCATTTCTCTCTCGGGGCCCAGACTTCTCCCACCAGGGCTTCAGTTTTTCGTTCAGTGAAATGTCTCCATGCCTGACGCTTTTCAGTGTTGGTGATGCCCTGTTATCTTCAGCCTAATGTACAAAAGAATTCAATACCTCCTGAGAGACTTGACTGCCCAAACCTCCGGCGGGCCAGCTGGTCTACCTTAGGGGTTGGCTCATTCAGCGGCATTCGAGAGGATGATTTTACCCCTGGGTCTCAGGCTGGAGTCTTCCTAGTTTCTGGTTCTCCGTGGTGTGTTTTCGGTTGCTCCCCTCGGGGTGACCTCAGGAAAATCAGCCCCGTTTCTGTGAGGTGGGATGGAAGTGCCGGGGACACACTTGCAGTGTGTACCTGGCCGACTTGTGTCTCGCTCCAGCTGCATCAGTGTCCCCAGCCCCCGCACCGTGCTCCGAACAGCTCCCGGCTTTGGTTTTATGTACTAGCGCTAAGTGATCCGTCGTGGTGGGGAGTGTTCACCTTGTGGCCAGCTGGTTAGTGTGTTGCAGTCCCCAAGATAGTAAGAGTCACTGCAGCCCTTTGACCTAAGGAAGCATGGCCACGTCACTGTGTTTGCCAGACAGGTGGGAGAGCACTGGTCTGGAAGTCAAAGGACCCGAGGTTGAGTGTTCAGGACTCCGCTTGCTGGATAGAGGATCTTTGGTGAAGTTTGCTCTTCTCCTGACCACACTTTTCATCTGTGTAATGGAAGGGGTTGGGTTAAATGATCTGTACAGTCCCTTTTAACCTTGATTCTCCGTGTCAGCCCCCTGTCCCTTACAGCCAACCCCATCTCTCCTCCGTCCTGATGCTTTCATGGTCTCATTCGGTGTGCCAGGAGCTCCTCTGCCCTAGCTTTGCTCTTTGCTCCAAGTGCTAAGCCCCCAGCCAGCTTTGGTGCTTGCTGCATGTGCTGAAGGCTTCCCTGCCCCCCCAGCTTATCTGCTTTCTCTGTGTGCCAAGGCTCAGCCCACCAGCTTTTCTGCCTGCTCCGTGTGCTAACGGCTCCCCCCTCAGCTTTGCTTCTTGCTCCCAGTGCTAAGGGTTCCCCCTCCCCCCAGCTTTGCTCAGTGCTAAGGGCCCCCCAGCTTTGCTTCTTGCTCCCAGTGGTAAGGGCCCCCCAGCTTTTCTGCTTGCTCTGTGCACTAAAGCTTCCCCCCCCAGCTTTGCTCCTTGCTCCCAGTGCTAAGGGCCCCCCCCAGCTTTGCTCCTTGCTCCCAGTGCTAAGGGGCCCCCCAGCTTTGCTCCTTGCTCCCAGTGCTAAGGGGCCCCCCCAGCTTTGCTCCTTGCTCCCAGTGCTAAGGGGCCCCCCCAGCTTTTCTGCTTGCTCCAAGTGGTAAGGGGCCCCCTCCCCCCAGCTTTGCTTCTTGCTCCCAGGGCTAAGGGCTCCCCCTCCCCCAGCTTTGCTCCTTGCTCTAAGTGGTAAGGGCCCCCCTCAGCTTTGCTCCTTGCTCCAAGTGGTAAGGGCCCCCCCAGCTTTGCTTCTTGCTCCCAGTGCCAAAGGGCCTCCCCAGCTTTTCTGCCTGCTCCATGTGCAAAGGGCTCCCTGTCCCCCAGCTTTGCTTCTTGCTCTCAGTGCTAAGGGCCCCCCCAGTTTTGCTTCTTGCTCCAAGTGCTAAGGGGCCCCCCCAGCTTTTCTGCTTGCTCCTTGTGCTAAGGGCCCCCCAGCTTTTCTGCCTGCTCCATGTGCAAAGGGTTCCCTGTCCCCCCAGCTTTGCTTCTTGCTCTCAGTGCTAAGGGCCTCCCACCAGCTTTGCTCCTTGCTCTCAGTGCTAAGGGCCCCCCCAGCTTTGCTTCTTGCTCTAAGTGCTAAGGGCTCCCCGTCCCCCCAGCTTTTCTCCTTGCTCCATGTATTAAGGGCCCCCCCAGCTTTTCTGCTTGCTCCATGTGCTAAGGGCTCCCCGTCCCCCCAGCTTTGCTTCTTGCTCCATGTGCTAAGGGCTCCCCGTCCCCAGCTTTGCTTCTTGCTCCCGGTGCTAAGGGCCTCCCCAGCTTTTCTGCTTGCTCCCTGTGCTAAGGGCCCCCCCCGCTTTGCTTCTTGCTCCCAGTGCTAAGGGGCCCCCCAGCTTTTCTGCTTGCTCCATGTGCTAAGGGCTCCCCATCCCCCCAGCTTTGCTTCTTGCTCTCAGTGCTAAGGGCCCCCCTCAGCTTTGCTTCTTGCTCCCAGTGCTAAGGGGCCCCCCAGCTTTGCTCCTTGCTCCATGTATTAAGGGCCCCCCCAGCTTTTCTGCTTGCTCCGTGTGCTGAAGCTTCTCCCCTCCAGCTTTGCTCCTTGCTCCATGTTCTAAGGGCCCCCCAGACCCCTTTGTTACCTGCTCAGTGTACCACACACAACCTCTGATGCTTGCTTAAATTTGGTGAAAAGAATTTCTCCCCACACCCCAACCTTTTCTTCCTAAATCTGAGGCTTTCTTCATTTGTGCTTCTCCCAGGTACTGGTACTTTCTTGGCCAGGAAGCCGAGGCCTACATCCCCTCTTGATGCCCTGCCACCCCAGCTCCAAAGCTCTGATCCTTTCTTGGTCTTTGTCCTCGGAGCTCCTTGATCCTGTCCCACCTCCAGCTTTCATGTTTTCTTGCTTTGGAGGCTCCCCCACCCTCCAATAAAAGCTCTGATGTTTTCTTCCTCCATGTACTAAGGGCCCCTCATGCCCCCCCAGTAATAAAAGCTCTGATGCTTTCTTGGTCTGTGAACTAAGCTTTCCCCCCACTTTTGATGTTTGGTCTGTGTGCTAAGGGCTCCTCCTGCTCCCCCCAAAAACAAAAATTCTGATGCTTGCTTAGTCTGTGTGCTAGAATTTTGTGTCTCCCTCTCTCTCTTCCTCACCCCCCTCCCCAGCCTTGACACTTACTCTGGGTGCTAGGGGCCTGTCCCTTTTCCCCACCCCTGCCAGTTGGTTCACACTGAGTGTTTCTTCTCTTTGTGGTGGGTCCCTGGTAGCATGGATCTTGTATAATGTCTCATTCTTTCTTACTGTTAACACTTGGTACATGTATATATGCACACATGCTTGTGCTTTCCTTCTCCAGGTCCCACTTATCTGGGGGTGGGATTCCCTCCTGCCATCTTGGATTCAGGCAAGTTTGGTAGAGGGGGCTAAGCTTGACTCCCTCTGTCCCCGTCCTCTTCTTTCCCTGTGAGTTCTTTCTTGTTACAGTGTACAGTAACCACCACTCTATGTTTATGCCCATTACCTCACTAGACACAACAACCCTGGGAAGGTTGAGTATCGGGCAGTGTTGTCCCCATCCTACATAGGAAGAAACTGAGACTTATCATTGGTGCCCAGGGTCACTTGGCTAGTAAGTGTGGATGGGGGAGCCAGGGTTCATATTTGGGTCTTTCCACTCCTTGCATTGGGCATTCTTTCCATTTGCCATGTGTCTGTAAGTATTTCGCTCCACCCCTCTTCCCAGTCAAACTCCCCCAAGGCAAGTCATCCTTCACTAGGGCAACCTAAATAAACTTCTGAAGGTGGTGACTTGGCTACCTTCTGTTTTTGCATTTTCCTCTTGCCTTTGTGTTTGGGTGGGGCTTTCTCTGTGTGTAATGTGTTTTCAATGGTGCTGATTTAATAAAATTTGTCTCTCAAAACAACTTGAGTGTCTTTCTTAACCGTGTTGGCCAGCACACTTCTATGGATTCTCCCCTGGCCCAAGTCCTAAGGGAATTATGTGAGAGACCAGATGGTCCATTGAGTCATCTTCAGCAGCTAAAGACGGCATGGAGGAGGCACCTGTTTTCAAATGGATTCTGACTTTTACAGGGAAATGTCCTTATTTCCAGATACCACACTGATGGGTTATTATCCTTCCAAAATAACTAGGTTGGGTGTCAAGGTACAGTGTATCGAACTGGCTGATCAGATGGGGCCAGGTATGGCTTGGATTGGGTGTAAATAGTCCAAGTGAACATTTGGAGTGAGGGATGTCTAAATTTGTGCATCTCATGAGATACCCGATTAGAATACCTTTGAATATTAGTGCCTTACACCTTTCAGGACCTTCATAGATGTCTCTATCTCCTTGTGAAATGAGGAGCACGAATTTCATCCCTGTTTTCCCGATGAGGAAACTAAGGCCCACAGAGTTGATTTCTCCTGTCCATCTCACACTTGTCCACTTCTCCCAACTTAGCTGCCACCCGAGGTCAGACCCTAAACACCTAGGCTGCTCTGATGGCTTCTGTGTGGTCTTCCTGCATCCTCCTTATCCAAGCCAGCCTACATATAGCTACCAAAACAATTAGGGTGCAAGCTTGACCATGTACCTCAGAACCATAGTATGTCCGGGTTAGGTGGGATTTAAGCAGCCATCCAGGCCAATCCGTATATAAAAGGGATTCCAACTATGACTTAACCCAACAAGAGGTCACTGCTTGAAGATTTCCACTCCCTGAGGCATCTCTAATACATTGAAGATAAAATACAGACTCTTCAGTCTGGCTTTGTAACATTTCTTCAACCCAGCTCCATCTTGCTTTTCCATTGCGATCATATTATTGCCTTACTCCTAGGCTCATAGATCTTAGTACTGGAAGAAACTATAGAGGCCCTCCAGTCCAACCCCCTCCCCCACCCCCAAACATAAGGAAACTGTGACTGTGGAATGTTGACTTGGACAATGACACACATGTAGTGTCCCAAGTTGGAATTTGAACTCGTGTGTTATGAGTAACTATCCAGTGTTGTCCGCACTGCACCTGTGTTTCAGCTCACTTGGAATGCTAGCCTTTCCCCAAACTTATCATTACATGTTCCTCTTCCCTTACTGCCCCACCTTAGGCCTGGCAGCTGCACTGTCCTATCAGAATCCTTGCTGTCCTTCAAGACTTGACTGGAAGTACCACTTTGGCTGGGAAGCCTTCCTTGCCTCTCTCCGTTTCCTTCCCAACCCCCGGTGTTTCTCCCTCTCTGTCTTCATATTATCTTTTTATTTATCTACACATACATTGTGCCCTCCAGCGTAAAATCCCTGAAAGGTGACAATGACTTGTTTTTGTATCCTCGGCGTCTCGTATATTGGACTTAATGTTGAATTAAGGGGTAGGTGGCACAGTGGGTAGGGCATCAGGGCTGGAGTCAGAAAGAGTTCAAATCTAGCCTCTTACTAGCTAGCTGTATGACTCTGGGCAAGTCACTTAACCCTGTTTGTCTCAGTTCCCTCTGCTGTAAAATGTGCTGGAGAAAGAAATAGCAGATCACTCCAGGGTCTTTACCGAGATGCCCCTAAATGATGTCATGAAGAACTGGCACAGCGGAAACGGCTAAGCAACAGAAATACTGGCTGATTAGTTACCTAGCTGTGACCTCACTGCAGTTCCTGGTTCTTTTTTGTTGTTTTTGGGGGGTTTTTGGCTAGGCAATGGGGTTCAGTGACTTGCCCAGGGTCACACAGCTAGTAAGTATCTGAGGCCAGATTTGAACTCGTGGGGTAGAGTTTCTTCCAGCCCTAGGATCTATGAGCCTAGGAGTAAGGCAATATGATTGGAATGGCAAGGCAAGAAGTTCAGAGTCTATGCACAATGGCGCCCCCTAGCTGCCCCAAGCATCCTCTCTGCAACATCCAAAACAAGTGATTCCTGCTTCTTTACCTAAAGGCGGTGGGGGGGGACGACCCACTACCTCCTGAAGAAGCAGGCCATCTCACTTTTGAATTAAAAAAAAATCCACCACCTTGGGAAAAGTACATTTTTTTTTTTGTGAGGCAATTGTAGTTAAGTGACTTGTCCAGGGTCATCTGTCTGAGGTCAGATTTGAACTCGGGTCCTCCTGACTCCAATCCTGGAGCTCTATTCACTGCACCACCTAGCTGCCCTGAGAGTAGTTTCATTATATTTTTGTATTATAGTTATATTATTTAATATTAAATAGTATTTAAATAAATTAAATATTAGATTAATTTAAATTAAATGAATATTAATAACATTATAATATATTTATATTATTTCATTATATATTCAATATATTTTCATTCGCAACCAAACATGCCAATAGGTAACAATCAGACCAAAGGCCATTTTAATTTAGTTATAGAGAGTGTTCGTTGTACTTAGGTATCAATTATGGATGTGTCTAACTCTTAAGTCATCATGAGGACCTGACTGAGAAGGAACAAGAGGATTGCTTGGCCTCCCCATTACAAAACCTATTTACCAGCTGAGAGGAGGGAGAGAGAGAAGTAGGAACTAATGTGTAAAATCGCCTCAAACAACAGATGACTTAGGGGCACATTCACCAGTGGAATTTCTCTCACAAAGTGGGAAAGGCAATGTGGTATTGTGGCAGGACTGTGAGAGCTGGAATCAAAAGATCTGGGTTCAAATCCTGACTGCCAATTACTGGCTGGGTGATCTGGGCAAGCCACCTCTTTTTTTCTGTTCCTCAGTTTCCTCATCTGTAAATGGGTCTATTTTAGAGTGTCTGTAAAGACTTGGAGTCAGTGGGGTGTCGTGGCTAGAGCCTTGGGCTTTGAGCCAGGGATACTGGGGTGTTAGCCTTTGCTGAGACATTCCCTAGCTAGGCTGTGAACCTCAGTATCCTCATCTGTAAAATGACAAGATGTTGGACCAGATGTCCTCTGAAGTTCCTTCTAATTCCAGATCCAGAATCCTCTGATTCTGTATCTTAATAGAGGAAGATAGCATCACCTCTGTAAGTAGAACATAGCTCCAGCCTTCACTTAATTGATGGCCCTCTGAGTAATAATAGCATGCGTTTATATAGTGCTTTACAGCTTACAAAGGACATTACCAATGCCTCTCTTTATCCTCACCCTAGGAGGTAGGTGCTGTTATTATCCCCATTTTATAATTGAAGAAACTGAGGCATGTAGGAGCAGTTAATAATAGCTAACATTTATATAGTGCTTACTGTGTGCCAGTCACTATGCTACATGCCTTATAAACATTGTCTCATTTTATCTTCATAACAACCCTAGAAGGAAGGGGCTATTATTATCCCCATTTTACAATTGAAGAAACTGAGGCAGACATCACTTGTTAATAATAATAACGTATAGCTCTTACTGTGCTTTGCAATTATTATTTCATTTTATTCTCACAACAACCCTGTGAAGATGGCACTGTTATCATACCCATTTTACAGTTGAGGAAATGGAGGCAGATGGGTTAAGTGACTTGCCCAGGGTCACACAGCCAATGTGTCTGAGGCAGGATTTGAATTAGCTCTTCCAGATTCCACATCTAGCCCTCTATCCATGGCACCGCCTAGCTGCCAGTATATTTTGATTCATGCTGTCCCTAGCTTGAATAGTTCGCGTGAAATGTTTTGTTTTAAAAGCAGAATGCACAGTTCCGAGGTGTATAGAGGAATGAGTGCCGTTGATGTGTCGACAAAGGATTTCCTCGTGCTACTATCATATAGACTTAAAACAATATTTGCCGTGGATAAAAGCTTAGCCTTTTTAATATCTGGGAGTAACAGCACCAGAAGGGTGGGGAAGATTGGCAAAGTCTTAGCGCTAGGGAAATCCTCTTCCAGTCTGACTGAATGCATGGGATCATAGGCTTAGAGCAGGAAGGGACCTTAGAGGCCTTCTAGGACATATTACAAATAAGGAAACTGAGGCCCAGGAGGAGAGGCCACCCAAGATTCAAACCCAAGTCTGGTGATTTGACATGCAATCCTCTTCCCTCTGCCCCATCTGTGTGGCAAAAGTCAGAGTGGGGTAGTGGTTAGAAAGCCAGCCTTGGAAATGGGGAGACCTGGGTTCGAGTCCAGCCTCTACCACATGCTGCGGAACTCTTGGCGGGTCATTTAGCCTTTCAGTGGCTTCGAGCAATTTGCCAAGACTATTAAGATACAGAAAAGATGCGTTGGTGGAGGGGAATTTCCATTTTAGATGTTTGTTAGACCAACAAAATCGCAGGTTCCACAACACCTCCCACTCCTCAAAAAATAATCAAAAACAAACCAGAATTTTAATCCAGGTCCTCTGGCCCCAAGATCACCAATCCTTTCAGTTTTACTCCGGTCCCATGTATCATACAGTTGAATGAATGTGTTAAAACTCAGGTCAACAAGGTGATCAAATAAAAACAGTAAGGCATTTATTCAGAGTCAAGGAATTGCAATCTGGAACAATGCACTACGTCATTCAGACACGGAAGTTCAGTGAGGTGGGGAGGGTTACTAACAGAAATTACATTCACCCAGACTGGGTAGACAGATGGAATAGCCAGTCCCAAGTTATTTAGTGCAGGGTGATAGCACTAAAAGAAAAGCCACAGGATCGATTTAAGTTGCCTCTAGCCCGCAGAGGCAGGGTGCTGACCAAGGTCCCCTAGCCAGGGACACCAGGAGCCTCATCAGAAGAGCTAAACTTCAGGAAGAGAGGGCTGGCAGAAATGTCCTTGGGGCTCTCTGTCTCGGAGAAACTGCTGATCACAGCAGAGATTCTCAGGAGTTGACTTTGGAGGGATGGAGTGATTAGAAATTGCTAGTGAGAACAGGGTAGGGGGCCCAGAGTTTCCCAGAGATTGACAAATGAATAAAACATTGACTAAGCGCTTGATACGTGCAAAGCACCGTACTGGGAATCCAAATAGGTAAATAAGACAGCCGCTTTCCTCAAGGA